TTCCTCAGGGCTTTAAAAAGGCTTTGGCAAAACCTTTAAAAAGGTCTTTTCTCCCCCTTTATTTTCTTTTGGTTTGGGGTTTTTTGTTTGGTTTTTTTTTTTTTTTGTTACTTTCTTCCATCTTCTTCAGTACTTCGGATCCTGAAGCTGGCTGCTATTTCAACTGTGAAATGAATAGCCAAAAAAACCCAACAAACCCAAACAAACCATCACTCTGGGTAGATGTAGGCAACTTGGAAGCGTTTACATTTGGAAGCGTGTACATCAATGATATTAAAAGAGTGGAGAAAGGGGAAAAAATGTGTTTGCTTCCATAATAGACGTGTGAAGAGTGGGGAGAACAGGGATTCCTTCAGGTGGCGTAGTGCTGTGTTATATTTTGTGAATATTTATGGTGAATTTGCAAATTGATCACCATTTTTCTGTGTATAAATGGACTCCGCTTCTCATTCCTTAAAATGTGAGCGGCTACTTGAGGGAGCTTGCCTGTTTTCCTTTACAAGATCACAGTGACTATCATAGAATCATAGAATCACTTTGGTTGGAAAAGACCTTTGAGATCATCAAGTCCAACCTTTAACCAAACCCTGCCATCCCACCACTAAACCATGTCCCTAAGCACCTCATCTATCCTTCTTTTAAATACCTCCAGGGATGAGGACTCTACCACCTTCCTGGGCAGCCCATTCCAGAGCCTGAGACTATGCCTTAACTATTCTGAAATGAAAGAGATGGCTGGTTTTGTGGTAGACTTGGTATTTTCTGCATGTCAGTAGCTGCCCATGGGTGGTGCAAAGTGTAACATCATTTTAAAAAATAACTCTGTATTCAATTTTCAGCAATTTGATTAATTTAAATTTAATGAGATTTTGAAGTTCTCCTTGCTGTGACATTTGTGATAACATATCTTTTAGGGAGATTCTCTGTTTCCTTTTTCTTTAAGGAGCCCACCATTACAGTATTGAAACTCTCCTAATTTGGAGAGTGGGGGAAGAAAGCAAATGGAGTATCGTTGTACCTGAAATTTAGTACATTTTCTCACACTTCCGTAATTTTGGTTTGAAAATGGGTTGGATCAGCTGCTGTCAGAAAAGAGGATGCTTGACTGAATTCAATTCCATTTATATACTTTTCCCTAGTATTCTTTGAAACACCTTGCAAAGTTTGAAGGTTGTATTGTGACAGTATCCATACTAAGTGATGTAAATTGTTTTATTTTTAAGGTAGGAGATCTAAGGCAAAAGCAGGTTAGCTGAGATAAACCGCAGACTTCAGAAGGATTGACAATAAGATGGTGTGTGGCTTACAAAGTCATCTTTCTTACTAAATAAAAACAATGGGAGTTGCACCAGCAGAAGTCACTGAAGCACCAAAATACAGGATGCTGCTTTTCCTTGGGAAACATAGCTAGTTAGTTATCTGTCGTAATAAACATTTCCCATTTCATTGGCAGATACTGTCTGGTGTGTTCCAAGGGAGTTCAAAGCTGTTTCTGATTTTCATTTTGACTTGTAAGAAGACCAGAGTTTGAAATAGGCTTATTTGGTCTAGCTGTTTTGGTGAAGTGATTGACAAAGATTTTATTCACTGCTTAAAATCATTCGTTTCAGTATCTCGCAAGTAGTAAATGTGGCCAGTATGTTGATATTGGAATTCTAGCATCTGATTTGCAGAAAACCTACAGGTGAGCAAAGATTTGTATTCTTCTATTCTCCATTCAAAATATAGAATATATTATCTTGTTATTTTGCATTTGTGTATTTTTAATAAAAATTTTAATTTTCTTTGTTAACTTCATTGCCAATTGTTGAGGTTGATTGAAACAATAAGATCATTTCCCCTCCAGTGTTTTCCTCTGCTGATATATCTAGTAACTCATATTTTATTAATGCATTGGCATTGCAAGATCTAGTCGTGGTTTGTTGCTTTTTTTTTTTTTTTTTTTTAATTAAACAGTTACAGATACATTACAGCATGTTGGTCCTTACCCCAGGGAGCATAAAATACGAGGGAAAATAACACTTCAGTGCAGGCAGATATGGGACACAGAGGATTCAGTAAGACGCTAAATCTTGCTCATTTGCTCAGCAGGACAGTTGGTCTTCTCTAATTATTCTTAGGCTGTTAAGCTTTTCTGGGTGGGGAGCAAGGTTGTGTTTCAGCAGATCATTAGTGGGTGTGGGGGTTAATGAAGGTGGAAAAGTACATTAATTCATGTTTGCATGTTCTCTTTATTTGTGCCTTGTTAGAGAAAGGGAGCCAAAACCCTTGGTTAAGATGCCTACAGGTCTTGGATTTTTGTTTTGGTTTTCTTCTGTCAGCTATGGTATAAAAGCAAATAAATAAAATATGCCCTCAGTAAGTGAAGGTAAAAGGTTGATGATTTTTGTTTGCATTTAAGGATGTTCATTAATCAGATTTTCTCATAGTGACCGTTATTAATTAGCACAGTTATTCCTCGCTGGACTCTCCTTTCTAGACTGTAGTCCTGGGTCCATATGTTCTTGTTTGAATTAAAATTAAAGAAATTGGTAGTGTTGTGAAATAGAATCGTGCTCATTTGTACATTGCTGCTTCTCTAAATCTACAGTTAAAGAGGACCTTGATAATTTTTACTAAACATTCCTTTAGGGACCAGTATAGTTTAGTGGTTTTGTTTCATCCTAGTGATTGACCTATTCCAGGCTTAAGAAAAAAACAATCACATTTTCACATAGTTGGTTTTTAATAAGCACTTGTGTAGAAGCTTGGGTATCAACTTACAGTGTATTTTTTCCACTGAGAATGACAATGTGTTGAGGGGAAAAGCAGTTGGTGTAACCTGTTTATTTTTTTTTTCAGTGCAGAATATGGACGAAGAAAAAGAAATGCTTTTCGAATACAAGTTGAAAAAGGTAGTATTGTTAGTACTATGTCCAAGATGCCAAATTCTTTGATTGTGCTTTTGCTGTTTTCTTAGCATGTTTGAACTTTTGCTTTCAGTGTTTGGAATAATCAGTAATGAGAAAGAACGTGAAGAGTTAGCAGTTTTAGAAGCTGAACATGTGGCAAAAAGAGCAAGACAACAAGAGAAAAATGAGTAAGAAGAATTTTTAATGCCATTAGTATTATAATCTCTTTAAAGCTTTCTGTCTTCGTATTATTCAGTTTTGCTAGTTTCAAGGTTACAGATAAATCCTGGATTTCCCATTGGCTTGTCTTCATCAAGAGTTATCTGTAGTTAACAGAAGCACTTTTTTCACTGCAAACAAGCAGATACTAGAGCCAATCATGATTTCTCTGATATGGGGAACATACAGCCCTGATTTAGTGGATATGCTTGGGGCTTCCTTGATAGTTTTCCACATAAGGCCCCAGTCCTCATGTGATTCAGTTCTTTTGTTTTGTTTTGTTCTTAATCTTTCTTGGGTACGAGAGATATTAGCAAAATCTGAGTGGTAAGACTACAAGGCAGGCTATTCAGAGTAAATCACCACTGGCTATGAGATTGGAGTTCAGATTTCCTGACTCCTAACCCTGTGCATAGACTCACAGACCATTCTGGTTTCTCTAAGCTGTGGTAGATATTAAGGGTCTCATGGGAAATTAGGACATTGTTGTCAGAAGGACTAGTCTAGTTTAGCAGTGATTTGCTGCTACTTCCCTTGTGGCAGCACTGGTGATTGTGTGATCTCTTGGTGAACTGAATCAGATTGATCCTACATCACTTTTTTAGGACTGTCTTTCAGTCAGGTTGCCAGGTCAATCCAACTCATCACAGACTCGGAAAGGATGCATTTTTTAACTCTTCATAGTAGTAAATTTAGAGCATGTGAGTCAGGAACTTTTCTCCAGTCTTAGGCTACCTGTTATCGTTGTGGGGAACCACAGTGTGGAAAATGCATTTGTTTTGTTTTCTGGGTGTCTCGCAGTTCTGCTGATACGTTAATAGTTTTTGTCTTCCTTCCATGTAAAGGACTGCAGGAAGTGCCACAGATGACTCTGATTATGATGATTATCCAGAAGATCTAGTAAGTTGTATTTTACTATGATTGCTTGTATTTGCATAACACATGATTCTGTGTTGTAAAATTGCAATGCACTTGGAGAATTTAAAAGTGGAGATGAACGCGAGGTATAGCCAGAATGGCAATTCCAGCTGAGAATCTGTAGAGCTAAAAGGAGGCTGTTGTCTGAAGGAAAAAGGAAGAACCTGTGGTGGGGAATTACTTTTGAGGAAAGCATGCTGGTGGCCTGAAGAACTTGGCTATTGAATGAAATGATTGAAGGAACCGACTTATCTGACTGTTACAAAGAGAGGTGTCAACAGGGGTCATTTCAGGGTAATTGCAAAGGCTGCTGTCTCTTCAACCAGCAGATGTAGTTTTATATGCAGTCGTTTGGTTTGCAGAGTGGGTTGGAAGATGCATGACTACTTTCTCCGGCAGGGATAATGCTAAATGATGTTTATGAAATAGTCTTTACTGGCCTCTTAATATAAATAATCCAAGTTATAACCTGCATATTTTCTTTTAAAATACGTGAATCTGCAGTCTACAAATCACATGAACAGTTCCCTGCTAAGCTTATACAAGAAAGGAAATCCTGATTCTCTTCCAACCACTCCAAAAAATGAACCAATGGAAACCCCCCCACCTGTGCGAACAGCACCTCAAACAAGCACCCTTTTGCCAGGAACAAGAGCGGAAGCACGCATCTCTGGAGGTGGCTGGTTCATTGATAAAACTCCGTGTGGAAAAGACTTTTTCATTGACCTTTCTGAGGATGGAGAAGGAGATGAAAAGAAACTGATTTCTGAGGTATTGTGTTTTACAAATGCAGTACGATTTAAGATTCAAGTATGAATATAATTTCCTGGGTAACTTGACAGGCTTCTGAACAGTGATACTAAGACCAAAAATACTTTCTCTCTGGATTTTTAAAATGCATTATTTTTATTACGAACATGCATGCTGTGTTTAAAGACAGTGGACATGTTAAATAGAAAGGAAAGATTGGCTTAAGCCCAGTTTGGTTTTAGCTTGGTTTCTGAAGAAGGAAGGGCTTAGCCCATTGTTCTGCTGTGTCAGAAGCGATTTTTGAACCTTCTGCCCCATTTCAAGCATGTTTGTATGGGAGGTAAAAAGTCACAAAATTATGAATTTCCTCCATGTTTTTTGAGGAAAATGTAGTGCTCAGTATTAGGGAAACCCAGATTAGTGCTCATACTGAGAGAAAGATAAGTGGAACTTAGCTGTTACTTATTCCATTTGCCAGTGATCAGCCTAACTAGTCAGGAAGCATGTGGCTTGCTGTAGCCATAGCACATGGTCTCCCTTAGCCAGTGGTTAAGTCTTAGTGAGCCTGGGGAAAGCTGAAGTTTTTTGGATGAACAAGAGTTGGGGAATTTGAAAGAAAATTGCATTTATTTATAAAGCAGTTAAAAATAGGTCCTACTCCCTATCCAGACATACTGACCACTTTGTGATCTCCTCCCCCCCCGCCTTTTTTTTTCAATTTACTGCATCCTCTTATCTAGAGAAAAGGAATAAAAGGGAGAACTTAACATTATAAAATGTTTGCAATACTGTATTCTTTAAAAAAAAAAACAAACCACAAAACCACAACAAACCAACTTTCATCATTGAACCTCTTTTTATTTCTTTTCTCCTGTATTACTCCTTTTCTTACATGCAGTTAACTTGTGTCAGCACTGAATAATATTTTCTTACAGCCACTCATGACTTACTAGCAATAAAAATTGTTTCCATTGGAGTAAATACATTCATACAGTTTTATTTGTCCCCAAAGTGGATTGCTCTATAATATGCAAATAACTGGTGTCTGATTTTGATTAGTGGTTGTGGCACTGGGGGGGGTGTTGTTTGGGGTTTTTTTGCTTATAAGTATGTACTTTTAGCAAAAAAGTGAGTGATATAATTAACCCTTTTAAAAAAAAAAAGGAAATCCTAATAAAAAAAGGATTTTCTACAAAAAGAAGGGATTAAATTCCTGCCTTGCTTGTCTTTATTCATATACTATGTATAACTTAAGGATTGTAGACACTTAAACATTTTGTTCTTTTTAAGTATTTTCAGAAATTCACTGACTTGGAAGGTTTTGTTTATATAATTCTGGTTTTATGCCATAGAAATCAACAGAATTTTCTGTCTTGGAGAATGAAAGAAAGAATACAAAGGGCAAGAGAGCAAAAAGAAAAAAAGAATTTCCAGATGTAGATGGAGAAATTGAGTCCATCTTACTTAAAAAGAAAGGTGAGAAGTTATTTTTGGCGTGCTGCTCCAGAGACATAGTGTTTGACCATGGAATCTCTTACGACAGAAGTGTTTTCTGAGGTGCAGAGAAGAGACCTTGAGCATTTTGTTAAGAAATTTAGCCTTAATGTTGTACTAAAAAAATATTCCAGTCCTGTGTCTACTACCAAAAAATAATACTACTTCATGTACTTAGCTAATTGTTTAGGCTGAGTACATTTTTGTTCAGTGTTAGCAACTACCATTATGCCATGTCTAAATGTGCATAACTTTTCCTCCCTAACAGTTAGAAGTAAGGGACCAGAGCTTTACCACCCTTCAGTGAAGTTTGAGGATGTAGGAGGCAATGATGAAACTTTAAAGGTTAGTTAAAATTTTATTTGTGGGATACACAATGCACTGAATAAAATGATGCATGAAAAATACAAAGAAGAAATCTGGCAGAATTCGTCTGTGTTGCACTGAGAATAGCTGCTTATACCAACAGCAACAAAGTTGGTTTGGGATTTTTTTTTTTCTTTGATTAATCTTTCTGAAAGCAGTCACTGAAATTCCATTAATAAACAGAACTTCCTTTATTTTGGCCTGTTTATAATATTAGCAATCTATAATAATAATAATTTCTGCAATTTAAACGGGTGTCTCTTGTTCTTAACAGGAAATATGCAAGATGCTCATTCATGTCCGTCATCCTGAAGTCTATAACCACTTAGGTGTGGTTCCACCTCGCGGTTTTCTTTTACATGGACCACCAGGATGTGGAAAGACGCTACTTGCACAAGCAATTGCTGGGGTGAGATAGCTTTAAATTTACAGTTTCTTCTTTTTTGAATTAATTTAGAGAGAAAAAAAAAATTCTTCATGATAGGCTGGATATTTTCCTTTTTTTTTTTTTACCTCTTTTCTCTCCTTTGTGTCTTAGTCTAAAATATATTTGTCTTCACTTCCTTCATTTAAATTCCATTTGAATCTCTACTTGATAGAACCTCATGTATGATGAAGGGACATAGTTTTATGTTTGGCTTAATTGTTTTGAGGCATTCCAAAGACAGTAATATAGGCATGAGAAAGCTATAGATGGAAGATAACTTTTGGTTAAATTTACCATACTGTTTTGTTTTAAGTCTGGACTTAACCTTACCATCTTTTATGAGGCATTACATTGATTCTATTGTGTGGCATCCATTACACAGTGATTTCTGAATTCCAAAACTGGATGTTGCCTTGACTGTGTCAAACTAATGATCTCGGAGCATATGACATTATTGGTGTTAATAGTTTGGTGTGTGGTGAGGCTGCTGTGCTGCTATGTGCCTGTTTTGGATCTAAATCTAGGGGCTATTTAGGGCTATTCAGTGATAAACATGGACTTTTTTTTTTCTTTAATACAGTTGTTCCTTAAATGACACAGACTATAACCTTAGAGACATGTAAATTATGAACTTCTGTAATGCAGATTTTATTTCTGAAAGAAAATACTAATGTTTATTCTTTAAATGTTGGTTAGACCCTTCTGACACTGTTTCAACTGTTTTAATTAAAAAGATTTGGTGGGGTTTTTTTTTGGTTTTAGTGCTTTACTGTAGAAAGCTACCCACTGAATGAATCTGTGGTATTTAATACTTCAGTGTGTATTTGTATAGGTAGTAAATTTGGGGAAAGAAACATGACACCAGTGAAAAATTCTCAGAGATGAGTTAAACTTAATGACTACTTCTTAAATAAGAGATTTTCAGTGGTGCTCTTTAAGGCAAACTATCTCCTCCAAGCCTGAGGTAGCACCTCTGGTGGCTGTGCTTTGTATAAATTAGGACTGGTTTTTTTTTTTTTTTTGGTAGTTCAAAGCTTGAAATAGGCTGAAACTACTATCAAAGTTACTATCAAAGTTACAATTTTATTTCTTTATTTTTAATAGCAGAAAATCTTGAATGTGAGCTTTACAAGTATCTTATTGTACAGTCCTGCTCAGATATTTCTGGAGCAAGACTAAGGGAACCCAAATCTGGTGGGGATCTCTTCCTCTCTGCTAAGAAATGCTTTGTTGCAAATGGAAATAGACAGTTTTCTCAGGAAGGGAGCCTAAGCATGAACTGAAATATATGTGTTGTGAAGGATTGGCTTGGGGACCAAGGTGAAAAGCTATTTGACAGTGCAGTCATTCTCTAATTGAATTAGGGAAACCTGGGTTTTGTATCCATTTCTTTTCACTTGGCCAAATGGCTCAGACCCATTTTAAACTAGAGGATGCTACTCATCTTGCTTAAAAGCTCATTAAGATTTAGTCTTGGTGACAATCTTCGTGTGTAAAAGATGTTGTATTGGAAAATATCTGTCCTCTAGGATATCCAACATTTCTAACCTCTGGATGTATCATACAGCATTCCTTGTCTCTTGCAGGAGCTTGAGCTCCCGATGCTGAAAGTGGCAGCAACGGAGATGGTGTCTGGAGTGTCAGGGGAATCTGAGCAGAAACTGAGGGAATTGTTTGAGCAGGCTGTGGTGAGACACCCATTGGAATTAACACTGTGAATTGTTTGTCCTTTTTCTTTGTAAAGATCCATACTTCGTAGCTGTGTTTTGAATTTGAGTGAATATTAGTGAGTGAATCTTTATACTGCTGCACACAAGTCATAGTGTCTCCCCTTCTGTGGCCAGAATTCCATTGTACTGAGTGTCATACTGTCACAGAGCACAAAGATTACTATTCTGAAATCTTGACAAAAGATAGTTCATCGTATCAATGTAAAGGGAGCAATGTAAATTATTTACCTATTTGGAGCTGCTTGGCTTGATTTATAAAAATAAGAGATGTAAGAGCAGTTTATTGTGCTTTTTTGTTACAAGGTGGGTTTTTTGCTGGTTTTGTATGGCATGCAGTTTGAGTGAATGCAAGGGACTTAAGACTTCAGGGTTTTAGGTACAACAAATGCAGATTTTCCTTTTTTTTAGTATGTAGCTAATGTTTTATTTCATGAGGACAGTTTTCTGATCCTGAGCTCTGAGAATGTTCTGGTTTTCCAACTTTATTCTGTTCTACTTTCCCCCACAACTGTATATAGGTGTTTAGAGTATGTTCCTGTATAAAAGGATACTAAACAGGGCAAAAGGATTGACCGAGAAGCTCTTAGACTATTATGTTTCTGGTTTGTACTACATTTTAATTTTTAGAAAGCCCTGTTGAGATGTTATTTAGAATAAAATTAAATAAATAATTGCACAGAGTTTTGAGAATTTACGTATCTTTTGTATATATAATGATTGAAAGGAGGTTGATATAAAATTATTTATGAAAAAATGTATTGCATAAAATCTGTTTAAAAATAAAGTCTCTTGCCTTTCTTATAGTCCCTCGCATTCACTTAAGTGGCTTTTCCACTTTTTGTACCAAATTTTTGTGCAGGGGATAAAAAAAGACACAGTTCCACTGTACCTTGTGCATGTACTGTGGAATCTTTATAGTGTAGTTCCATTTTTTTCAGATAGAGGAAAAGTGAATGACAACTAGATGGCGCAGTTGCTATCTGGTAACACAGAACGCGTGGGTTTTAAAATACTTTTTTTCATATGGGACTTTTTCTGAAGATGGTTCTAGTGTTTTCCTTAAGTGTTTGTTTGTACTGCTGGTGCTTCTTATGGATATTAATAATCTTATGTCAGTTAAATACTACTCTATTAGTTACACTAATATGTACATTCTATATTTGTGTTGGCTTTTTATGAACATGCTGTACATGGAATTTTAGAACACTTGTAGGAGTTGCTCATCGCTCATTTTTACTCTTTTGAACATGGTCAGGCTCTGTAGTAATCTTGAAGTTGGCAGATCACTTTTCATGACCACCTACTGCTCCCTTAGTTTCATTATGTGTGTCAGTAATAGTAGCTCTTGAAACTCCATAGCTCTAATGTCACTAACAAAACAAACAAAAAACTAAATCCAACCTTTCTTGTCTAATTTTCTTTTTTGGACTTAAGCAAGTAAGCAGTCACAATGGAATATTTATGGAAAACAAAGCAACATAGAGGTACACTTAAATTTTGAACGATATATAGAGACATTCTGAATCTCATGCCTTAATTATTTCATAGCCTCAGCTCAGCACAGTTTCATAGTCTGGCAGCTCTTCAGGTAGTCAATAAGAACAAGAGAATTGTTCCAGGACAGGTCGATTGTGCAGCAGACTTAGAGCAATAATTATAGAACAGGAAACCTGAAAAATGTCTTTCTCTTTCATAACACACTATGTCAGTGTAATTTTGTAATTATTAATATTTCTTGTTCCTAGTCTAGTGCACCATGTGTCCTTTTCATTGATGAGATTGATGCAATCACCCCAAAAAGAGAAGTTGCATCAAAGGACATGGAGCGGAGAATTGTTGCTCAGTTCCTAACTTGTATGGATGGTCAGTTTCAGGAACAGCTGTACTAAGCTAAGCTTTCTAATTATCAGGCTTACTGTCTGCTTTCCTTCAGTAGTAACTTGTGGTTACTTTAGTGGAGACAGTGGTAATAATTTTTTGTATTTTGGCACAATTTACCTGGGGGATGGTGGGAAGATTCTAATAAATTTGCGGGGATATTAGTTCATTTTTTTCACAGTGGTCTGTACAGCATTATATAAGCCTGTCTCTTTTATAAACAGCTATAATGGGAAAAATGTGCCAAATGACATTTGAAGTGCTTATTGTTTGCTTGATTATGCAAAATGCAAGTTCTAGGTAGTAGAAATAAGGACGAACAGCAGTTCAGTATGACTGTTGGTTAGTTATGTCTGTGGCTCTGAGTATTATTGTGTGGTACAGAAACAGAGCCACATAGATACCAGAACAAAGTTCACATGGAGAGTATGAGCACTAACTTCCTTCCTTCCTTCCTTTAGACTTGAATAACGTGGCTGCCACTACCCAGGTCCTTGTTATTGGAGCAACTAACAGACCTGACTCACTGGACCCTGCACTGAGACGAGCTGGGAGATTTGATCGAGAAATTTGTTTAGGGATCCCAGATGAAGTGGCAAGAGAAAAGTACGAGTTATAAAGTTTAAGCTTTTTTTTTATTATTAATTAATAAGTGAGGAAATAATGTGTAAGTTAATATACAAATTAAGGAAAAGTACTTTATTGGTTTTAATCCTGTTTGTGCCTGTACACACCTATGGATCAGCACACACTGAAAAGGGCAGAAGATATTAAATGTGCATCTACTCCTTGTCTTGATAGCTGTGTCTACATTTGGGGTGGTTTCCTTTCTTGTGTGCAAATCTGCTTTTAGCATTATGTTAATGGGTTTTCAAGTGCCTTAACAGTATAGGTGATGGAATTAAATATATCTTTTCTGTTGTTCAGGCAGTTAGTATTCTGTCTTTGGTGCTCCCTATGCAACTATTAAATTAGGAACATAGCCTGTTTGTTAGTCCTCTCAAGTACATACCTTAAGCAATAGGCCTAGATTCTTCCATTCCGTTCCCCGTGGAAATGCACCAGTCCAGGCATTAAGCTGAGCTGCAGCCATCCTGTTTTGTGTAACTGGCCCTCTTTACTCCAGAGATCCATGACGGTCAGATTAGATTTAAAAAAAAAAGAAAATATTTTGCTTTTTAATTAAAAAGGAACTGCTACTCATTTCCACAACAGCAGAAAACACAGGAAAGGAAGTGTGAAAACAGCTGTGGCTTATCTTGTTAGGGAAGGAAAGAAAAGTTAGAGGATAAATTCCTTCTAGCTCAACTAATCTTATTTTTAGGTTGAAAAAACAAATTATTCTGCTTGCAGCATTGTTCACCTTGTGTTGTCAGCACTATTATCCTTCTCCCCACCACTGCTCCTGCTGGCTTCCACTGTTTTTTTTCTTCTTCCTCCAGATCTACAGCCCTGTAGTAATTATGTTCCTCTTGGTTGTGGGAAAACATGCCGGTGGTGAGAGGTAGAACTAAAGAGTTGGCTGATGAGAGTTCTGATTCTATGATATATCTTAGGTTCGTGTTACACATATGATACTCCCAGAAATAGCAGGGCTTCAAAGGATAGGAGCTGTGAATGGGAAAGCCATCACAGTGTGTACAGGTTGTTCACAATTTAGAGTGTAGTCACATTGTTCATATTACTGTTTTGTACAATTGTTTGTATTTGTGTTCCTGGAGCCATAGGATTACAGGAACTGTTGATTTTATTTTAGTTTTTAAATTATGTGCCCCCTGCCCCGCTTTTCTGTTTTGTTTTGAGTTTGGGGTAGGTTTTGTTGGGCAGATTTGTTTTTTTTTTTTTTTAAAACAAAAGGGTCTCATAGAAACAGACATCCTTATAGTGTGCTGATTTACCACATAATAAATCAGTCTTACTGAAGGCATGATTTGAACTGCTTAGCTGTTGTTCTATAACCTTAGGGTGGTGGAGTAGGATGAGGAGGTGTGCCTGGAGATCTTGCTTTACTTGCAGTGTTTTCTTGTGCATGTATGAAGCACGTGAAGGAAAAGAATATATTGAGGACAAATGGAATGAGCCATTTACAGTTCTTAATTTTTTATGCTTTGAGTCACTTGATTAGCTACAGCTGTTATCAGTGAGATAGAAAAATTCTTGAGAACCAAGCTAATATCACTAACAAAGATTTAAATTAGAGATGATGGAACTTGTTAGTGGGGGAGGCAAACGGATGAAAAATAATTTCAGAGTTTTGAATAGTTTCATAACTCGTTCTTTTCATAGGTCTTCTGTAGTTACATTACTAGATCTGGAAATAATTTAAAACAGTTTTCATTGGAACTAGAAGATATGTTGATGATCTTCAATTCTTTGGTTTGTGTTGCCTTTTTAAAATATTTTCCCAAGGAAGTGATGTTTTGCTGCTTTATAGCCCTCTGCTCAGAGTTCTTCAGCGCCAAGCATTTTTTTTTTTTTGACTATTCATGTAGTTTTCAGTTGTCCTTGGCTTAGAAGAACAGCAGGAAGTCTTGGTGGACCTTGAAGGAGGTTTTTAAAGCTTCAGCCTTGATACAGAGTGAAAAACTCCCATTAAAAAGAATAAAAAGTGTGAAGCGTAGCACTTCACTGTCAGTTACATAGAGCTGTTTTGTATTAGTGATGGAACTGCATAGGTAGGTGTAACTTTAGCTTTTGAATGAGGATGAGGTAGCATGCAAAGTGTACCCATAAGCTGTGTGGTGCCTTTTGGAAATTTTACTGGGGACGCAGGAAATATCTGCAGTTATATTGCACCAACAGTGGTAGGGGAAAGACAATGAAGATTAAAAGACAGAGCTGCTCACACAGTCTGATTTCATTTGCTCCTTGCACTACAGTTTGTTGTGGATGTTCTTCAATAAATAAAGTGGGATGGAACAGACAATGCAGACTAAGGTTGTTAGGAATACAACGTTAAGTATCTCAATGGATAACTTGTGTGCATCTCTGCAGTATGCTCTGAGATCTACTCTGTCCATTTTGAATAATAAACTAAGGTTTAAGGAATCTGTAATATTTAGTTTCAGCAAAACTAGCTTTTACCCACTGATGGACATTGCCTGGTTGATACTGTTGGAATTCGTTTAAGAAGTGAAAGGAAATACATAGCATAGTTTTGTGGGTTTCAGTGTGGGTTGCTTCCTAGTTGAGTGAAAACTGTTCCCATTTTACTACTTCAGTTCATGTGGACTGAAAGAGACCTTAAATCAATGCTTCTTGTTTTCATATGAAAATAAAAAAAGCCATAGCTTCATCTTTATTTTGTTTTTCTTTTTTCTCCCTACTTGATTAGAATTCTTCGGACTTTGTGTCGAAAACTTAAGCTCCCGGAGTCCTTTGAATTTCATCATTTAGCACGGCTGACTCCGGGTTATGTAGGTGCTGATCTGATGGCACTTTGTCGTGAGGCAGCTATGTGCACAGTGAACAGGGTCCTGATAAAATCTGAGAAGCAGGAAAGAAAACACATACACGCTGGAGGAAACAAAGCTGAAGAAAGCAAAGGAATAGGAACAGACATCCTGGTGGAAGAGGATACCAAACAACTAGAACTTCCTCCTAAGGTATTTGTTCCTTGACACACGTGCCTCTAATATCTTAAGAACTGAGACATTTTATAGTTGTGAAAGTTATTGCTCATAAATCCGTAAAGAACTATGACCAATGTAATGTTAAATTTAGAAATATCAGCTCCTAAACCAGAAGCTTAACTCCTAATGACCCATATAATGGATCTGAGTAAGTGGCTCCCAAAACCCACATCTAAAAATCATGTTAATGTTTTATACAAGGTGTGGTTTTTCCCTTGGTTTTCATTGTTGTTGTTTCTGTTGTGTTGTTTTGTTTTCTAGCAGACCAGAGGTTAAATAAGTGGCTCTATCTCTCTTCAAAAGTGTATTGACTGTAAGAGAATTGTAAGAATATCAGACTTGCACTGAGTTTTAACAAGCTGTTTGCTGTGCCCTCAGTGAAATATTATGATGCCTGGGGCTCTTCACTGCCATAGTATAGTTACAGTTCTCCAAAGTCTAGAAGTATTTATGCAGTTTACATTTTCCCCTCAAGCTATGCGATTACTTGGGGTAAATCGCATGTGGTGTCTAGTACCTATAACAAGTTTGAGGAAGAGGTATTTATGCAGTAGAAAAGTTGGGTTAGCAATGTGACTTGAGCTGTTAATGTGCAGTACAGCTGGAACTCTGTTGCAGAAAAGTAGCATTTTGCCTGCCAGAATTATTCTGTGGCCCAAGTAACATGCATTGATCAGTGAACCAGAACATTTTTGTATAGAAATTCTCAGCCCTACTTCTCAAAATTTGATGCGCCTTCATTATGTGTAAGATTCCTAAAGATTTGTCTGGAGAAGTGGTTTTAAATCCACATTGTACTCAGATTCTGATTTTAGAGGGACTGTCAAAGAAAACTGTTACTGTAATTAACAAAAAACAGTGTAAAAAGCTGTAGTAAGCCTTTGTATTAGAGTAACTGCATACCTCCCCATGTTTCCTGGGGCCTGATGTAGCCAAAAGAAAGCGGGGAGGGGCAGGTAGTTGCAGCTTTTATCAACATCACCATGATCAAAGGGGTTATCGAGAATGAGGAAGTCTAATCCTAACAGAGCCATGTTTTGATAGCTGGCAAGAGGTTGACATAGTCTAATACAGGGTATTGTCATTAAAACCGTTATATTATGTTTATAATGGAAAAATAAACATACAAACCCCTTTAAAATAATTCACACAATTCAAGTAAACAAACCCAGTGGTCTTGGCTATTTCAGAGTTTCCCTTAATGGTTCTGTTAAGAAGAGGAGGGAGGCTTTAAAAGGAGCACCAGGCATTATAAACACTTCTGTTTCTTTGTGGTCAGTTGTAGAGTTCTCTTAGTTGTAACAAGTAGGAAGTGATACTTCTCCCATATGCTGCTGTAGGAAAAATGTGGAAACTTAACAGAGGTTTTTACTTTTTTTTTTTTTTCTCTCCCTCTAGCTTATAATGAAAATTCTGGTATAGTTTTACTTGTGGTGCAATATCAGTTTGCTTTGATATTGCCTTCCCATATTAGAACTGGGATGTATTTATTTTGTGACGGTATAAAGTTTTTTGATAAGTATTTTCTTAGATAGCGTCCCCAATAAGGAACTGATTGGGGAAATTGGAACTTACCTGCCTGTGGTGCTGTGGTCTGCAAGATTTGACAGTGCTGAAAAGCATTACCCTGTATCTCTGTTCTGTTTTCCCAAACTTTATCAATTTTATGAGTTGATGATTTAAAAATCAGATTAGGTTAAATAAAAGTTTATAATATAAAAGTGTGTGTGTGTCTGTTAAGAGTTTTAAGGGTTTATATGTAAATGAATATTCCACAAATTGCTGAAATTTTGCTGTTCAGCAGAGTTACTCACTTTCTCTTGAGACCAATTTCTTACTAAAACCAGAATAAATACATATACTTAATATGTAATTTGGAAATTTCAGCATGGAAAGAACTTTCTTCTAACCAGTGTGGGAGAAGCAGTAGGAAGAATCTGAAGACAAAATAGATGTGCTATAGCTCTGTTTCTGTAGTATCTAAATCAAGACTGTAGTCTTGTCAGCTCAGTGCTTTCACAAGTGTTAAATGTACGTAGTGCTTTCCTGGAACATTTTTATCATGAATGTAAATTTTTAATGTTCTTATACGTTATGTGTATTGTACATAACAATTTGTTTTATAGTAATTAATAATACAGTTGAAGAAAGTATTGCTTTGGAAAAGCTTTTAACAATTATTCTTGAAATCTGATGCAGTGCATGATCTTTTTCTCTCCCTTTCCGTGTACCCTAAGGACGAACTGCAGAGACTTTTGGATTTGCTAAAGAAGCAAGACCCCTTGCCTGAGGAGCAGCTGCAGAAGCTGTGCATTGAGATGAATGATTTTATTGTTTCACTGTCATCAGTGCAACCCTCTGCCAAGAGAGAAGGCTTTGTCACAATTCCTGATGTGACATGGGCAGATATCGGAGCCCTGGAGGATGTTCGGGAGGAGCTGACTATGGCAATATTGGTATGTCTTAACCTTACTTTCAAAGATTTTTTGCACTTCCCCCTGTGCAGGAAATGTAACTGTGCTTGTTTGGTTTATAATATTTATTTAAGGTATAATGTGCTGAACGTGAGTTCTAACATGCTACAAACTAGAAATTTTGTAATGTCTTCATTTAAAATAGTCAGACTTCTGTAATTTGCTTTCAAATTTGTTACAAGTCTGGTGCATGTATTTAAAGTTTCACTTACTGTATTCATGATCTCAGTTTTCAGTATGTTCATTATTGGTGAATCTTAAGTATTCTGAAAGTTTTGTACTGATAACCTTAGTTACACAACTGCCACACAAAGAGACTACTTAGCTGGAAGGTTAGCAGTCTTGCTGCCAGTGAGAGGGATACTTAATACTAACACCTTAAGATGAGAACTTAGGTAAATAAAATGTTTGCCTCTGAATAATGATACTTCTCCCATTTTGGATTACTTATCAGTACAAGACAGTAAGATGCTGATTGACTGTTTTGTTCTTTTAGCCTATAAAGAATTGGAATAAAGAACGATTTTTCATCCAACTGTAATTGAAATGAAAAGTTTCATGTTAGTTTTTTGTCACAGATAACTATGATGATTTCTTTTATAGGCACCTGTGCGAAACCCAGAGCAGTTTAAAGCTCTGGGCCTGACTACTCCAGCTGGTGTCCTGCTTGCAGGGCCTCCCGGGTGTGGCAAAACCCTGTTAGCTAAGGTAATACATTTTCTAAACATGTTTAAAAATCCTGGAGAATCTTCTTGAAGTGGATGCTTTTGTAGGAGTGACTGAGTCTGGATGATACTGCCAGAAGTTGGGCATTTGCACCACTTCTCATCAGAAAATTAAATTTGGGCCTTTGTGCTAAATTTCTTGTCAGAAAGTTACAATTTTGCTTGAACTGAGAGGGAATTACTGCAAAACTTGACAGAATTAAGCTGGTTAAGAAAAAAGTAGCAAAATTGGGAAGAAACTCTGTTAGATAACCACACTATGGAATATTTTACTTTAAATTATGTATTTTGAAGTAGTCTACACTGTATTATATTTACATATTTTTGTTTATTATAATTACCTTACTGAAAATACTTTTTTTTTTTTTCCCCTTCTCCTGGAGTATCTTAGTTCTTATGGCTTCCCCATGTGAATGCAGATATTCCTGAAAGTTTCCAGAGTGTCACTCATCTTTGTCTTCAAATCTTCTTGCGTAGTTGAATATCTCTTAGCTCCCACTAATTATTGAGAATTCTTCACCTAACATGGGGGAGAGGGGTGGGCTGTGAATCTGGAACACTGCCTTATTAAAGAGTGAGGGCACCCTGCTAAATTCCCCCTCTCTTAATTGCATATAGTTATACTTTGTACTGTTCTCTGTGTTTTAGAAACAGTTGATAACTATGCTCCTTCCCTTAAGTTTGGTTACCACTCCGTGGATGGAATCAAAGAAAACATGAAAAATGTCTTTCCCTTTTTGATAGGCCGTGGCAAATGAGTCTGGACTGAACTTCATATCTGTGAAAGGTCCTGAACTGCTAAATATGGTATGCATTAATCATTGTGCTTTTGTTATTTATGGAATCCCTGTCCAAAGTGTGTGGTAAGCAGGATTCCTGATAATTACAAAACTGATACTGGTGCAACTGAAGTTGCCTCATTTAACTCTGCTTAAAGTTTTTTTTTAACAGGGAAGTTGTTCATGTGAAAAGAAAAAAAGCTATCTGGGTAGTTCAAGGATATATCTTGGTTTAAATTACCTGGCAGATGGAGCCTTCTTGACTGAAGCAGGATTTCTAAATGATGAACTACATGCATCGTTGATTTTATGTAGATCAGGAAAAAGAAAAAAAATTCAAATCTACAGTGAGAATAATTGGTGATTAGTAACTGCAAATCAGCCACTTTCACTAAGCAAAATAAAGTTTTCAAGTTTCAAGTTCAGGAATGTCTTTTGCCAGTCATTCTAGCTTCTTAATGGAAGTTCGAAGCCTTGGAAAGCAATGTGTTATTTTAGTTGATCAGAGTGGTTTTTAATGACAATAAATAAAGTGCTGCAGTCTGAATCTTTGAAGTGCTGGACATAGAAGTGTTGTGATATAACTTCAGTCCCTTTTAGAGTTAAGAGACTCTGTTGAACTGAGCGAGGCAGCTGCAGCCCACATCTGTTTATCAGTAACTCTAAGTTAATGAGGAGCCCTATTTCCTTGTGGAGTAAAGAGGAAATGTCTGGCTGTGATTCAGAGACTGTGTTAAGACATAAATTGTGTCAAAACATGTTGTTTGGAAAAAATTAAGTGTTTGCATTTACAACTTGGCAACCCCTGCCCCTGCAATTCGCTGTTCAAAGTGAAATTCTGGCTTACTTTTCAGTTCCCTACCCCCAGGCCCCCTGTCTTCAGGCAGCTACTGTATGAACTTCAGGTGTTCACTGTGTTCAGATTGCTCACTGGGTTTGTTTATGAACAGCTGAAGAACAACAAGGTCCTTAATGAAGGTAGTATTTATTAATTCTCATCAGCAGAATGGTGGTGAGTTAGATTTATTCCCCAGAAAGTAGGAATTCTATTAAACTGTGAATGTACTGCAAACTGTCAAAAGTGAGCTAGTGACAACTAGTTCCCATGTAAATCTTGATCAGTAAGAAAATGGAGGTAACAGACTGTTACCTGAAGTAAACTGGTTAGCAGGTTGCACATCTCCCTTGCAAAGTACCTCAAATAGTGTTTAAAATGTGATTTTTTAATATTTTTTTTTCAAGCAGAATCTTCATGTCTTACATTGTTTCACTGTGATTTGTCATTTGTTTTAGTATGTTGGTGAAAGTGAACGTGCTGTACGTCAGGTATTCCAGCGTGCCAGGAATTCAGCCCCTTGTGTTATATTTTTTGATGAAGTTGATGCTTTGTGCCCTCGGAGGTCCGACCGTGAAGTGAGTCTGTCTTAAAATATCTCCATAAATAAATCATCTCAGCTGTAGCTTTTGTGGCATTGTGCTAGCAACAGAAGTACCTGGGTATTGCATTCAGTGGCTTCCAAGAAAAACAATTTGATAGGCTTTCTCATATTTGAGGAAAAATATGTTGGTCGAATTTTATAAAGCTTAATACTTTTTTTTAGTATGCATATGTAGAAAAAAAAATCCAGAGAATGTACGTATATCCACCAACTTGGCTGTGTAGAGCTGTAGGAAAAGATACATGTTTAATTTATGGCCAAATCTTGACACCAGCCAAATCCTGACACCAGTACGCAACTGTAGTGCTTGCATGAAGTATGTATTTATTTGAACAATGTGAACTGGGTCATGAAAATACTTGAGGCAGGAGCATAAGTGGAATGCATTAGACTTCAGAGCTATTCCACCTGTGAAGTTTTCCTCTGTCTTGATTTTTTTTGTTGTTGTTTTGGAATAGGAACTACCTACACCTAGGGTTAACTTTGCTTCTGGTGGGGCGGTACCGGTGCAAACTGTGAGCATGTTGAAAGGAGAGCCTCTTTGTTTTTTGTGTAGAGGAAGTACATCTGCTTTATGATACTGTACTGGTGCATGCAGTTGATGACTGAAAGAACAGATGCTTTTTTTTCAATGGATGAGTTGAGCACAGTACTGTTCAGATATTGCCATCAATGACTTTAACAGACAGACTGCTGTAGTTCAAGTTCATAGGAGAGGAGAAGTTTGATCAACTGTTTCTGAATTGTGCTTTGTCTTCCAAACCTGCATACTTCACTTCCTATGAAAGATAGCCAAGATGAAAAGTTCAGACTTGACTTCTTGGGTGTCCTGGGGTGGTGGTTCCCACAGAGCCATAAAAGAAGGTGTCCAGTACTAGGCACCACAGTAGGCATAGATGGTAGCCGAGGAGTGGGAACAAGTGGGCTTTGGCCTCGCTATATTTCACTTCTGTAGCAGCAGCAGGCAGCAGCAGCTTGGTGCCTAGAAGCTCACCCCTGCTGTTCACAACCTCCTTTAACCATGTAGAGGTACTGTCGGGGCAGGAGGCTGGTGACTTTATTACTCAGGCTGTGATAGTGGTGACAATCCTTGGGATTCATAATTGAGACTCAGGGTTGTTTGGTGTTCCCATTGGCTTTTTGAGACCTATGTGCGTTTTCACCACATACTATAGTTATCCATAAGTGCATTTATATTTTTGTATGTTTAAAATCAAACAGTAACACCTAGAACAACATTCTTGAAAATCATCCAGCAGTTTTACTGCATAATTGAACTCCAGCTCCTGTGCTTTGTTTCTCTCTCTGGCTCCCCAACTCTAGAATGAAATTCAGATTAAGCTATTGAGTTTGGTTATAGGTTGTCAGTATTATGGAGTTAACATTTAACTATGCGTAGCTCAGCTGCTGAAAGTATTAATTCAGAGGTTTAGATATTTGGAAAAATTTTTAATTTTTTTCAAAGCCTGAATATTGAGAAGTTTTGGGTGTTCTTGTTGAGATAGATGGGAGAATGATTAGTACAAATATCTATATACACTTCTTTGAGTCCTTCATCCTTAATGGGAAAGAAAAGGTTTGTCATATGTTAAAATGTGTGGTGGGTGCATAGGGGTAGAATTTGGGGTGGAAACAAGCTAAAAATACGATAGTAGAAATCCAGAATGCAGCTACATTAAAAGCGAAAAAAAGAAACTTTTTCTTTGGATAGTATTTCAGGGCAGGGAGCTAGTAGATTTTTTGTTTGTTTTGCTTTGAAATATTCACATTCCCACTGTTTCTTCAATTTTGTTGGCAAATTTCTCCTTTTAAAGTCAGGAGCCAGTGTCCGAGTAGTTAACCAGTTACTCACAGAGATGGATGGTCTGGAGAATCGTCAGCAGGTTTTCATTATGGCTGCCACAAACAGGCCAGGTAAGGACCCATAAACAAGAGAGGTCAGACACCCTTGGTTCTCTTCTGATGAATTAATCTGTTCCTTACATACTTGAATTCTATAACCTTGTTCTGTACTTAAAATTACAGTGTCTCCTCAAATCCAGACCTTTCTGATCAACTAATTTGTTCCACGTTCTTGTGACAGTGTGAGATGGAGCAACCTCTATAAAATGTGTCTTAATTAGCACCTGATACCATTGCTGTAAAATGCTTTGAAAGACCTTTGACTTAATTGGACTTTGGATTATGTCCTTGGAACATAAAAGAACTGAAACATAAATTATGTAATTTTTTTGCTACTTGCATTGATTTTTCTTTGCAAAACAACCTTATAGTTTTCTGCTGGTCTCAATATTAAGGCATCTGTCTCATTTTAAATTATTTTTCCATTTGCTTATCGTTTGCTTCCTGTGCTTCACGTTCCAAACTCTATTCCCTCAGCCTGAAGTTATTCTGCTGTTCCCTCATGTTCTGCAAGCTTTGATACTGACAGCTGTCTGCTCCCTTGCTGGCTCTTCAGTTTTTGGTAGCTTTTGTAATTCCTGCAGCATCATCTTAGTTAATAAGCTAAACACTGACATCTACTTTACAAAAATCGTGTGTATTACAACCAACTTTCTGCCCTTTTCTTTTTTTTTGGTATTATGGAGAAGTCTTGTGTTTTATGCGTGGCAAGAAACTTGTCTCTTCCTGAATTTGAACTCCCATCAGATGCTGAGAGTTAGAAGTAAAAAAATTTGTTGTCAGTATAAGAAGACACGTATGCATAAAGCTGTTGCACTTCCTTGGTTATGAGCATTTTTCGCAATATTGCAACTGAATTTAAATACAGGGTTACCAGTCTATCTTGGTAAAGCCATACTGGTGTAGGTGCCAGAATTTTGGAAAGAACCTTTGCACCTAGAGCAGGTATTTGGTAAAATTACTAATAACGACAAGTTACAGTTAGTTGTTTCATACCTGCATGTATTAAGTAAGGACAAGTTGTGTAATTCTGATGAGAAATGGCTTAACAGGGAAAAACAGTAGCATAGCTACTTTGGATATAAATTGGAAGATGAGAAAGTTAAAATATTTGACAGATTGCTTGAGTCCTGGATATCTCCATCTGAAATCACCTAAAATAGGCAACTATGAGGTGTGTTTGGTTTTTTTCCAACTGTCAAAAGATTTTTGAGGAAAATTTTCCTGTTTCCTGAATTCTTTGCACCACGTCAGACTATCAAGCTTTTTACATGGTGAAGGATGAGCAGTGGATGCTTAAATCTGTATCTGCTTGTAGAAATTCTTTGACTTAAAGTGGTAAGTTTTCCTGGCATGAGCTTGATGATTCTGACCTATGTAATCCAATGCAGGAAAGAGAATAAGGTTATACAATGTAGCACATCTATATATAGATACAGTTGGATGTACCCAGGGTGTTACTATTGGTGTCATCATGTTGCCTTAGGAAAGAGATCTCTCACTAAATTGTTGTGCTAGTGCCAGTGTTTGTACCAAGCAGCCTTATTTGTCAGTGTTTCTGAAGGGCTTCATATCTAACTCCTGATGACAGTAAACTCATCGTTCTCTCTGACTGGTAGCTTGGGGTGTGAATTCCAACACTTCTGAAGTTGAGGAGATACCCAGCTTGACTTCCTGCGGTGCCGCCTCAGGTGTACCACTCGTATACGTGGGGTGAAGACTTTTAGGGCCAGTGTGTGTATGTGACACTGTTCTCAGCTAATGACTCCTCTCGTAGAGGCAGCCAAGAGCAAGTAGTTTAGTAGCTTTACAAGGGCCAGTTTAGAGTAAATGCTGCTCAGGTGTTAATTTCAAGATATGAGTACTTGTGTGTGGCAGGTTTGTCCTAATTCCCAGCTTTGCTGGATTTAGATTTACGCTAATTCAGTACTTGCTTATGGGTCTCATTTTCATGCCTATATGAAATAGGTATCTGTGCAATTGTTAATCCATCCCTTTATAAGCCTTATGCTGGATGCAATTTTACCATTATGTTGGTATAAAGTACCGTGGGAATGCTTTGGGGATTTTTTTTTTTTTTTTTCAGTTTTAAAAAGTTACCGTTGCCTTGTTCAGCTGCAGTGGTAGATGTACTGTTTTACTATACCAGAATAGTTAAAATTACAAAACTTTCCTGAGTAATGAGGGTTGAACTAATATTTGAGGGAAGCTGGGGAATTTGTAAGGCATGAACTCAGTGGTGTGTTACTAGACAATGACATTGATGAAAAAAGCAAATCTGAGGTAAAAATGCCAAATCTAAAGAAAACGCAAAGGAGGGATAACAAATATAATCATCAAATTGAAGGGTATAAATATATCTTCAAATTCTTTGTATAATTCTTAATTATATCTCGATAAAGGAGTTGTTTTGCCAACACGATAAAATATTTTTTTCTGAATGGCAAAGCTTGGCACATCCAGCTTTTGCTAGAGGAGGCAATTGTCTATGCAGTTTGGATAAGATTGATGTCTTGCTTCAGAAGGATATCAGCTGTGTGTACGAATAACACTTTAGATAGGTTTAAACTACAAACTTTTGCTGCGATATCTGCGTTTGTATGTGTGAAGAAATATTGTTTCCAATTGATGCAGCTTTTATTAGAACAACTTCTACTGAAATTATGGTTAAACTGGAGAAATTGATTTTTCTCTTGTGTAGTTTATTCACCGTTTATGGGGTTTAGGAAGAGGCAGGCGTTCACCAAATTCAATTTTGTTAGTATGGTCTATGTACTTAATAGGAGCACACTGCAGGTAGAGAACAGTAAAGTCTGTGCTAGTAAAGCACTCTTACCACCCTAAGGACGAAATCTCCAAGCAGAAACCTCTAGGAGAACCATAGCTTATACTGGCTAATATATTTGAATTATTCCTGCAGACAGTAAGAGTTGTGGTGCCTGAAAAGCTCTTTTGCGTATAAGTCTGACATTTGTATGAAAGAATTTTCTGTCCTAGTTATGTTGAATAGAGGTGCTGGGGGTTGTGTAATGTAAATAATACATGTGCCCCAGCAGAACTTCCTGAAGCCTTCCACGGGGCAAGTATTATGAAGTGTGCTATCTCATCTTTTTTAATCCATGTTAGTATAATTTAATAGGAGAGAAAATGGCTTCTCTTCTAGCATGTCTGTATGTGTAGTAGCTTTTATAGTTGGCTGCTGTTACTGCTCATGACTATTGGTGTATGTTGTTGGCATTGTAGTTGCAGAGACCATGGTGCCAAAAGAAGAGTCTTCTCATTAAAATATTAATATTATTACTATTATTATTATAAAGAATAATAGTACTATCAGTAGGGTAGCAGTGGCTCAACCAGTTTTGGCATCAAGGTATGTTCCTGGCACAGTTGATCCAGTGAGGTGTTAGCACGTGTGACAAGGTATTTTTGTGAAATGGTGGTGTTTTATGTACCCTGTGGCTGAAGACTGCCAAATTCTTTTTTTATAATAGCCTTTAAGGACTTAGAACACTGTAATTCCCCTTTTGCCAAAAGGGCAGGCACAATAGATTGGTTCCTTTGTTTATCATATGCAGTCTGCATGTGGTAATTCTTATTCTGGCACTGCTGAAATAAGCCTTTGATCTGCCCTTAAAAGTAGGATGTTTGAATGTGTTTTGCACTTACTCAGTGACTTTGAAAGTCCTCTGTAGATCTTTCTTGACTACTGCTAAATCAGCAGGGATGCAGTATTCCCAACTCAATCTCTTTCCACCTAAATGCAGAACCAATGTCTAACTTTGTCTGAAGAGGATTAAACTTTTAAAGCACTCAGTGTCATTAAAAAGAGAGAGAGGGGAGGCGGAAAAAAAAAAAAAAGACAGAAATGCCATGTCCTGTTAGAAACTTTATGGGTCAAAATCATTACGTTCATTTTCAGTCTGCTTCCTTCGCCAAATCTGGACTGAATACTTACAAAACCATCAATCACCACTGTTAACTGAAGTCTGTAATTTCCCACAATTTTCTAGTTACCAGTGTGAGTTTCAGTTTTGGATACTGCTGCTTTCTGCTCTTTTTTTACTTCCTCAGGCTTTGAACATTTATAAACTCTTTAGAGAAATGCTGACCAAGGCATCAGCAGCATTTACCATGGGATCTAAGGAATTGTGTGTAGCCTGAGGAAACAGAAAAGAAATCAGTGAAATGCCACAAACTGATAGTGATTTCAGTTTGACGTAAATTGTGATGTTGTCTTTGCTTTTATCCATGGTCTTCTTCTCTAGCTTTTTAAAATTCTTGCAGATTTCCCATTGTACTTAGAGCATGGCCCTAGTTTCAGTGTGTTCTATTTTTCTTTATCAAGTTTTTGTTAGTTTTCTAGAGTTATTCACCTGAACCACATGTTTTGAAACACAGAAAAAAAATAATCTTCAGTCTCTGACAATAATTACAGTTTTGGTTTGGGTTTTTTGTTTGTTATGTTTATACCTGTTTATACATGTTGCTGAATTAAAGGCAAGATAAGATCTAAGAAAAGCACCTAATATGTGAGGCATGGAACAACTTCTTTCATCATAGTTCTAACTCACACAAAGTATATTTCTGCATTTCACCAGCCCTTGAATGTCACATATCTTTCACAGTAACTTTAGTGGAGTTTGTTTGCTGTGTGGAAGCAAAGTTATTAACTGGAGTGTTCATCTGGAGTCTTGGAAAACCTTTTAGGGCTTCTGAGGCTACATTCCAGAACATCACAGATGTGAGGACCTAGATCTTGTATACTTCAAATACCATTTTTAAAGCTGTAGTGAGTATAGGAGAGAAGTTTGATGGGCTCAGCACAATAGTCTTTGTTGCTGGTATGCACTGAGCTTTCGTAAATGTTAACTCTTGTACAGTTGAGATAAGACATGAATAATCAACTGGAAATGAGGGTAAGAGTAATAGATATCATTACAGAACAATAGAATGTCACATTATAGGGATGTATGCAAAGATATTTTCAATAGAATTTAATGAAGAGGATATAATTTTACAGTAGTTCAGAGAGCAGTGTAACAAACTGAAATGGTACATAATTCTCTAGAGGCAAGTGGCTGTTTTAACCTTTAAAAACAAAGCAAGGAATGGATGTACTCTAAATGATGTCTTATGCAATTTTGCCAAATTATTTGGAAAATGGTACTACTGTCTTCTAAGGACATAGTCAACACCATTGACTATATCAGAAAACCAAGACAAACTTAACTAGACTTTTCTCTTAACAGAGGTATATTCTCTCCATGAGAACTGCTTGGAAAAGAAGTGGTGTGTATTACCACATTTCCATGTTTCGCTTTCAACCTTGAGAGATAATAATAGGCTTTGAAAGAGGTATCTACGATAACTACCTTAATTTCATCAAAATGCTAAATGTACCTAAACTATCTGTTTAGATAAGTTTCAAGATAATAGATAGGGAGAGAACATCATGATTTATCAGGATGGAATGCTTTGAGATTCCTAAAAGGGGAGCATTATTCAGTTCTGTGAACAGATATGAAGTGCATCTAATGAGTGAGTTTGACCAATGAGTAAATACTAATTTCTGTGTTATGTGACTCAAATTTTCAAGCACTTCAGGCTCAGGCCTGAAGCAGCAGAGTGAAGTGAATTGACTCATAAGGAGACGGGGAGTGTAGATCTGCGTTTTAAACTTCAGTATGGTCTCCTCATTGCAAACCACCATCACTTCAGCTTATTGAGTTAGCATGAGTTGTGGTAACTCTTTGAATATGGGCAATGTAATCATTTACATACAAATGGATGAATGGATCTTTAGACTGGATTGCTAATTTTGTGTTGTTGGACAAACAGGTGACGAGTACCATGTTCTCAGCATGCAAAATGGAAACAGTCTTTTCCATATCAAGGTTAATATTTTTAAAGAGGTTTTCAAACTTTAGAATGGGGAAGTTATCAAGTGCATGGTGTTGTAATGCAATCCCTATTGAGAGTATTTGTTTTGATGTTTATAATTGATCTGTTGAGCGAACTTAGTCATCTCATCTTAATAATATGGCAAGTCTTCCGTCTATAGAGGCACAAAAACAGGAAAGTGCACTTGTGCTAAAAGCAAGATAAAGTACCATATGGCCCTGTGCACAGACTTAAAAGATAGATGTTTCTGTGTAGGCCTGCCATGGCAGGGATCCTGTTTAACCCTTGTTTCATCTGGTCTGGATTAACATAATACATGAAGTTCTTCCTTTTTTTCCTCACCATTCTTGTCGCATTCACAATAGCTGGTATTTGCTCACATAGATGCCTCTGGCCATGACTGCTGTATCTTGGAAAAAAAATTTGCTTTTGTCCAAGAAAAAGACAGTGAAACAACGTATGCATCTCATTCTACTTTTTGTCCTTTAAGCATAGGTGAGAGAGTAACTTGAACAAAACTGTGTATCTGTAAAAAGTGAATCAAGACAATGTTGTGGTAGGATCAGGTAGCTGGAGTCTTGACAGAGTTAAGCAAACTTTTCTTTAGCAAAAAAGGGATAGCTGTGCTTCCATGCTACTGTTCTGAGGTTTGGGGGGCTTGTTTTTGTTTTGTTTTCTACTAAACATCTGTACAGTAAGGATTAACAGCTTAACTTTTCCCAGACCTTCACCTTTAATATATAATAATGCATGTAGTTTGTCTGTTAGCCACATTCTGTCAAGAGGATGTAGTGATTATAAGGATGTTGACAGCTTCATCTGGAGTCCTTGATAGTTTCCAGCTTAAGACTTAAGTGTAACTTTCAACTGTTACTTTTGGACAAGGTTCTTGCAATAGCTATCTAACACATCTATAGAATTGTCAGACTTCAAAAAAGTCTGTTTCACTGAAAGGACAATTTTCTTTATATCTTCTGTGGGTGCTTTTGTGGCTTCACTGTTCTCATTTCTGTTCACGTGTACGATATGGATTATTAGAATCCCTTGGTGAAATAGAGCAAGTAATACCATCATGGTTTCTGGTAGATGGGGCACCACGAAACATTTAGAAACATCATCCAGGCAGTTTATGCTGAAATATGGACAGGAATTGAGGTCTTTCCCAGGTTATATGGCTGGTTTGTATCTGTTGTTATATCAACAGTCCATAGTATTTATATCCTGACTTACTGTTTGTGGATATTCAGTATTGAAGCCTGTGGTCCTAAAAGGCTGCTAGACGTTTCTGTAACATTTAAGTTCTGAATGGTTTTCCAGAAACATTTGTGATGCTTTTGGTTTCCTACTTTTCCACACATAATAAAATTTGGAGTTTTGGAAGAACTCTTCCTGGGAGACAAATTCTGTACTTTGCAGCTGTATTTTGTGTTTTCAGGAGTTTCCTATTTTACCAGTCAGTAAATGAGTAAGTAGTAGAAATGCAATGACCAGTGAAATTAAGTTTGCATATGGGTGCTTACGATTGGCCCTGTGTACTTGTTGTTCTTAATTTATCACTGTGCCTTTCAAGCAGATTCGCAGTGGTTAATATGGGTAAAGTTCCTTCCAACAAACAAACTTGGAAGCATTTTTTCCCCTTGTTTTGAATTAATGTGGAATTCCTCACTTGACCATGCTAGGTATGACAGTAAGAATGTTCGAGTACTGTATTGCCAAAGACAGAGTTGTCTTCATCTGTGAAGAGATGAAGCTGGTATTTATGAGCTATCGTTGAGCAGATGTGGCTTAACTGTACTAGGTAACAGGGGCTCCTACTTGACGGAGATGAAACTATTTCAGTCAGCTATTTCAATGGTCAGAGATTCACATCATGGCACAAATGCTTCTTTGAATCTAGGTACAAGTATGCATATATTCCTCCTCATGTGTACACTTTCCTAAGGGTGTATCTCATCTCTAGGTAATTTTTTCTTTTTTTTTCTTTTTTTTTTTCCCCCTCCCTAAGATATAATTGACCCAGCTATCCTGCGTCCTGGTAGACTGGATAAAACGCTTTATGTGGGTTTGCCACCACCTGAAGATCGACTTGCTATTTTAAAGACCATCACCAAAGTGAGTATTTGAAAATAAATCCTTATCTTGAAGCTTGTTGGAATATAAATTATATTTTACAGAGTATTGCAGGATCCTGTCTCATAAAACCCATGATGCCATAAAAACAAACCATCAGCCACATCTGCTGTTAAATTTGCTCCGAGACTGTAAGGGGTTGATAAATCTTGTACGGCAAACCTGTTAAACATAGAAACTGCTGCCTTTATAGTCACAGTTTGAATAGATTTAATTAAAAGATTCCTGTCTGTGTGAGTAATGGGCCTAGAAGTGTTTTGTAAGCTTTTTTGGGGGGGGGTTCCACACATTCACCAAAATGATTCACTAGCTCCAGCTGTATTTGCTCAACAGTAATTATGACATTTAATTGCCTTTAGGATTAAAGGAAGCTTGTGATGATAGAGAGTGTAGGTCATAGTAAATGTGAAAGATACCTGCCTCCATAGGTCCTCCCTGTGGTTAATGGCACAATCTGACACTTCAGATATTTGGATTATAGAATTCTATTTGAATATTTCTCTAAGTGTGGTACAGCAGTAATCAAGGCCTTAAAGAAAGAACACACAAAGTGTTATGAATTACTTTGATATTTCCTACTTTTTCCAGTAGATCAGCATTGATTGTTAAGAGCAGGTGTCCTATCAGATTTTTTTTTGAGCTGCAAAGGAGACCAAGTCTTCACTATAGAGAAAAGATAGCGCTGTATTATGAAAAGTGTGGCAAAAAATATTTAGCAAATTTGTAAAAGAGATAATTCACTCTTGCATAAGCATAAAGTTGTGGTGTAGGCAATAGTTAATCCCATAGGAGAACTCGGAAAGTGAGGATTCATTCAAGCATGTCCTTTCATGCCAAAATAGTTGTTCAAGTCAGGCTCTCATTACAAGTTCAGGATGTTAGACTTTCCTTCATTTGTTCTATGCATTACTTCATAGAAAAAAAAAAAAGTAAGTATGCCCCCATTTGCTATTAGCAGTAGATCAGTTTATGGTTCCTAGTTTTTATAAAAATATTTCAATTAAAACTTTTTACAATCCTATTCTTGAAGGTGGTTGTCTTTTAGAAGACCTATGGAGAATCTCAGTGTAACATCCATGAATCATTTTTCAAACATACCGTAAGGAATTATATCTTTTATTTTAACAATTTATTTTTAAAGATAATTCAAAGTGTTCTTTAAAAATTGGGCTTATATGATTGTTCTGACTTAATACAAACAACCTTCTTCTGGAGGAAATGGGTAGTAAGGGTCAGTAACTAGACTGTCTAAACAGAGCAGAAGGATTTTGGTACAGAGTTTACATCTGCTCTGTTTTTTAAAATACAGGCGTTGAGCCTTGCTTGCCCTAATTTTTGCTAGAGAATATTTGGAGATTTGTAACTGTCTCAAGTGCTCTCACTGTAATTAGTGGTGTAGGAAAATAGTGCAGCAAAGCTTGGTGCAAGACTTCATGGGAGTGGAAGGTGGTATTAAACAAAACTGATTTATCTCGCGCTCTCACAGATTTCACTCGCTCTCACAGCCACACACAGTCACCAAGATGCTTGCAGCCAAGTGGTAGGGCCAGGATCATTTGTGTGCAACACCAAGGATAAGGAACTCTGTGCTGAGTCCTCACTTCATCTCTTGGCTTCCTCTTTATGGGCGATGGTTGTCAGAGAGAACCATTTTCCAGATTTCCCTTAAGAATCAAACAGTTCAGAATTGTGCTTACTTCAGCTGCCATAAATGTTGGGCAAGGTTGCCGAAATATGTCTTTGCTCCCTCCTTCTGGGAATCTTTGTGGCTATAGTCTGTCTTCCTGTTGGGATAACACCAAGAGGAGTGGCACATGTGATGTAACCTTGTTGTCATCCTGTTATCAGAGCTTATTTGTCTTCTGCTGACAAACCAACTTTGTTGTGGCCTTATCTGATTATGGGCTTTCTTGTGATACAAGCAACGCATTGCATAGTGTTTACCAGCTTGGTTCCTGTGGATCCTGTCCTTGGTTATCAGGGCATGTTATTTTTGGAATGCCAGATACTTGCATGCATACTGAATTCATACGAGTCCTAATATTTTGGTTACAAACCTTTGTAGTGAATGAGGTGGTATTTAATGAATTCTTTTTCTCAGCTCTTAGTTAAGACACCAGCAGAAATGAGATGCAAACACTCTCTGAATGAGTCTTCCTCACACGTTTCCACGTTCATTTAATGAGGAGGCTGGTGCTGTTCTCACTTTACTACTTCTGCAGTCACCAGAGTTCTCAAAAAGCTAGGCAAATATTTTTATTTCTAGTGTTAAGAACAAGAAATAGGTTGTTATTTTCTTTAAAAATATATAGGAGTTATCTGGAAAAAGAATATGGAATATGGAGAGAGGAAAAGATGTTAAATTAATTGAAATACCTTGGGTTTTGTCAGACTTCATCCATGCGTTTTAGGTAAGGAAATTTGAAAAATCCATGTACAGGAACGCTTGCTTAAATATATGCTCAGGCCTAGATAAAGCAAAATTTTTGGTGCAGATGTAAGTGGCTTCTGGGTGACGGTATGCACTCCCAGAAATCCCTGAGGAATACATGCACAGAATGTGAAAACAGAATTGCTGCTAAGGGGGAAAACTTGGATGCTTATGAAGGCAGCATGAGAAGCAGGAAAGGGAGTTAGGGGGAAGAATAGGTTGTAAGGAAGACAGACAGCCTGGATGTGGGTCGAAGCTTTGTTGTGAAAGACTTTTATTTCAGTTAACTTGTACAAATCAGTCATTTTCAAATTGCATATTAGTTATGCAAGAGAAGCATGTCTTCGCATGTTGAAGTTACGAGTGTGTGTATATTCCTGCAAGCCGTATCAGCCTCCCTGGTGCACGTACTGCTGAGCTTGTCTCCAGAGCAGGCAGATCATCCCACCTGTGTTGGGTGAAATGCCCAACCTGTGTTGCTACTGAAAGCAATAGGTGAAACATTTCTTGTTAGCAGAGAAGGTGTCTCTCTGGCTTGCAGTCTCATACAACAATTACTGAAAGTATTCCATATGAAATTACACGAGGCTTCCTTGTTTCCAGGTTAAAGTCTCTCCTTTCAAGATGCTTCAAAATCAGGCTGTTCCTTTGTCTGTTTGTTGGGTTTTTTTCCCCCCTATCTAACTGGTATTCTATCGAAGACTCGTTCACGATTGCTCCCCTACTCTCTCTGCCTAGTCCTTGACAATTCTACTGTCTGTTAGGTATTCAAGGGCTTTAACTTGCTAGTTACTATACATTTTATTTTTTCTCTTGAAGGTATTATAGGTATGTGGTCTATTAGTTCACCTGAAGAAGTCAGAAAAGAACTGTATGAACCTGTGCATTTCTGTCAAATTATTTTCTGGCAGAATTATATAAATGGTATAAAAAAAGTGTCCTTTCATGTCTAAACTCAGGCGTTGCTTGATACTTGTAGGCACCTAGAATCTCTGTACTACCATGATACTGCTTTACTGTTGTCTGAGGGAGACTTCCATGCTTACACCATTTGAAAATGTTGTTGGCTGGTTTCAAGTGTAGTTTATAATGTTCAATGGTGTTTCCTGACTGATGAAACTTAATCACTTCAGGGATGGGAAGTTTAAAACAAAAACAAACAAACAAACAAAAACCCCAGGGGTTTCTTATCTTCTTTTTATTATCTAAACTCCTTTAGGGTGGTACCCGGCCTCCACTAGATACTGATGTAAACCTTGAAGAAATTGCGTACAGTCAACATTGTGATTGTTATACGTGAGTAGCTTCCAGTTCTGACTTTAATATTTAATGTACAGTGCCAACAGTCCTCTGGTGCGTGGTAATGTGTGTTATGTTGTTGTTATTAAGAGGATCTCTTAACTTTCAGGGTTTGTAAGCCTTTTCCCTTATGCTATTTTTCTTGCATTCACTTGTGCTTTTTCCCAAGGAGTTCGCAGGAATATATCGGTGCTAGTGTCTTTTTCATCTGGAATAGTCCTCTTCATGTTGCAAATGCAGATCAGTAGAGGCCTCTTGGCTTTGCTTTGTTTTATTTTGTAATTCTTGCATAATCCGAGGACAGAAGAGCCCTCTGAGTTGTGAACCCATACACAATGATGATGAAAGCAAATTGGTTAAACAACCGTAACCAACTTGTTTTGTCACACAGTTGAAAGCAATGTGTTTGATCAAGTAATGAGGGCCTATTTCAATTTGTGCTTTGGGAATACCAAGGTGTGTTTTTTAGGAAAGCTTGATAGCTGTATCTGTCAGAATAATTTGCAATTGTGTTCTACAAACCTTCAAAAAGCTTTCATCTATTAAATGATTTATTAATAGTGATTTTCTGGAATTCACAGAAGATAAAGTTTATGATGTGCTGCTTGTCACAGTATTAGTTTTGAATCTTAGAAATGGAGGCTATTGCCAGTAACGAGTTTTAGTTTGTCATTGTTTCATACTTGGGAAAGATGAGTGCTTTTTCTTTCTCTGCCCCTTTTGCTCACTGTCATTTTTGGGCGGGGGAGGGGGGGGAGTGTGGGTTTTGGGGTCGGGTTTTTTGTTTTGTTTTGTTGTGTTTGGGTTGGTTTGTGTTTTGGTTTTTTGTTTGTGGGGATTTTTGCTTGTTTGGTTTTTTGTTATTTTAAAAATAGTGGTATTCCTAGCATCCCCAGATGAAGCATGGAGAGTTAATTGTGAAAATTTTCTTTGGTTCAATGACTTGAACTTTTCACAAGTCTTCAAACTGGTACAACAGCTGGAAACTGGAAACAAATATTTAGATATATTTAGAATGATCTGACCATGCTTTGTGGATACTCTTATTTTAAAAGTATGTGCAATTAACTGTTGATCCAGCTTCGAGCAAGGCAATAATGGGTGATTCCATTTGAATCTTTCATAAGACTGATACAAAAAGAAATGTATCATATCCCCACCAAGTGACACAATATTAATTAATCCTTTGGCATTTTCAAGGATGCTGGGTGGGGTTTTTGCCTCTTCCCTTGCTTCTCATTTATTTGATCTTAATCTGTGGCTACAATTATGGATGTGATTCCATAATAAAGGTTGCAGCACTGGGTAGTCCTTGGACCTCTTTCCAATGTTCTTAAGATGAACCTTTATGACAGCACAACCAGGCTCTTACCATCACTTGTAGCGTCTTGCATTTCTATATGCCATCAGCAAAAGGCAGAGAAATTTATCCTAAAAATAACCCATTCTCTTTGTGTCTATGGTAGAGGGGCAGACCTTTCCGCTCTAGTGCGTGAGGCTTCAATTTGCGCATTGAGACAGGAGATGGCCCTGCAGAATACTAAAAGCAAGAAAGGTAAGAAAGCTTTACAAAAATCTTAACTGAACAGCGAGCAGATAAATGGAATGTAAAGTTTTAAGGTAGTTCACGACAAGCATAAAGGTGTGCGCTTAATACATGATGGATGACTTCTGAGCCAAACAAAAATTAAGTCAGATTTGTTTCAAGAACACATAAGCATCTTTGGACTAGATGCAAAAAACAGTTACGCTTGGAGGTTCAGCATAAATTTTCTTTCTAAAAGAATCGAACCTTGTAACCTTAAAGAAAAGTTTGCGTTAAATGATCGTATAAACTGACAATTTGTATACTAGATGGAATACATCTTTGCCAAACTTCCATATCGCTATCAAAACTAATTATACTGATTTATTTGCAGATTTGAGTATAGTTGTAACTGCACATACTGATCACATACCTTTGGCACGCAATTGTATTGTGTAACTGAATACATGCATCTAGTAGTAATGGTGCCAGGAAAAATCTGAGTGCTGTTTTTTATCTTGGGCGTTTAGCTCATCGGTGGCTCTTGCCAGGACTTTCACAGAAAGTTACAGATTGTTTGAAGTACAATGTCTGCCCTTTCCAGGGCTCTCTGCACTTTTAAGTTGTATTTTCCTGGTTTTTAATTTCTTTTTTCTGTGCAGATAGGAAAATGTAATTGGAAATTGAAACTCTTACATAAAATGTGTGCATCTACATTTTTTTCCCAGTAATTTAATTTATTATTTTACCCTTAAGTCAAAACGCAAAGCTAAGATGGAATTGTGACTTTTTAGATGACAATCCTTGGAAAACATATTAGGCTTTCATTATGCACGATGGAATTTTAATGGCTTTGAATCATTCTTTTTGATCTGGTACATATCCAGTCTCATCTGGTTTTTAACAACAGCAGGTTAAGAAAGCAGAATGTTTGTATTCTTGTTTTGAGGGAGCTAGCATGTTCTTTTAGAGGGGGGGGAAAAAAGAAACAAACTATAAAAACTTTCATACAACAGATGAAAATTTCTGAATTTATCCTGTTTGTTTTTGTAATTATCTAGAATACAGCAGGCTTGATCAAAGATGTTAATCACTTGAATTCAGCCTTCACATTTAGGATTGCAGCCTAAGCATTTACTGTATGGATGGGCTGGCAGCCAGCAAGTCCATAATATATGTGTAGCTTGATTTCCATGTTGATAGCAGCTGCTTGTTGGGGGTGTCCTTGGATTTGGGCTTCCATGATGTCAGCCCTGGCTGGTATGAAAGTGTGTAAGGTGGTTTCCAATCTGACGCCTTGCTCATTTATATATTAAAGAGTAGTGTGTGTACACAGACTGGAGAATGTCTTCCTTCAGTGTTACCACAGGACATGCACAACTGACTCCCCTCCCAGGCTCTCTATGTGACTGTAGATGGGTGCTGTGTGTCCTTGGCAGTCAGTACCTTGCAATCACCTGCCTGAGCTGAGGGCTGTTCCTTTCTATCTTGTAGAAACTCCAGTGCAACTTTCTTGTTATACCTGATGGTTTCCCTCTGGAATAAATTCAGGGATGTGGGGGTTTTTAATGCTTAGTAGTGATTTGCTTGAAGGGACTTTTCTTCTACTGAAAGGTATCTTCTTTGTGGTAGAAGAATCCATAAATTCTGCTTCCAACTTTTTTAACAGTCCTGGCAGAGCTGATCATGTGAGTCATTGCAGTCTGGGCGTTGCCAGATAGTGCAGCTTGGCCGGGGGCGGGGGGGGGAGAAAGAGTGGGCAGACTTTCAGTTTTATCAAATACCTCTGGAGTTCCTTATCATTGGCCCAGCATTTGACTGCCCAGAAGAGTTCCACTTCTGGCTCCCTTTTCCAAACCACTGTTGAAGATGCTGAATAAAACTGCTTTCAGCACCAATACCAGAGTGGGACCCCACTGCTGCCTGTTCCCTGTCCTGAAAAGTGACCATTAAACCTTATGCTCTATTCATATCCCTTAATCATCTTTCAGTCCACTAAAGGATCTTTCTTATGATTCTTTGGAGTTTACCAGTCCTCTGGTGGCTATAACAACAGGTTACAAGATTTGGCCAGCACTTCATAGTTTCATAGAGAAGTTCCTTCAGAACCTTTGGGTAAACACTACCTGGTCCTGGTGACTTACTGTTAACATCCTAACTGACCTATTTTAGTGTAATACTTTTATATTTACTTCAAATTGATCTAGTTACAAAGAATGCATAGGGTATGAGAATCTCTTGACATTTTCAGCTACAAAGACAAATGCAGAGAATTCATTGACCTTCTAAACTAGACCTTATTCCTGACTGTCCCTTTTTGTATATTAATTTTTTTTTTAAAGATAGATAGCCAGTGACCCCACATCACCTGCATAGTCCATAAAGCTGATCTTAAGCAAAGAGCCTGAGACTTCCTGTTACAGCAGTTAAGAACAAGTGTGGTTTAACAAGTGAGATTAAAGTTTTGTATCTTTGTGGTTGAATTTGAAAAGCAAGACTGGGTCCTTGTTTGATAGTTTCAAATTACAGAGGAAAGGGAACCAGCTATCCTTTGCTCATCTATGTAAATAGGAAACAAAACAATTTCATATTTGAAGTTTTTAAGTACTTAGTCTTATTTTAAAAAGACTATACCTGTTGATATATTTCATTATCTTATTAACTTTATCTTGATAAATTGTTTTAATAAAACATTCATACCTACTTATTCAGACAATGTGGTTTTGTCATCAGAAATCAAAGCAAACAATGTTAATGCAAGTAGCCAAGGTATAGATTACTGCCAGCTAAATTCTCCACCATATCAAGCATTGTGCTTCCTTTTACTGTGCAATGAACATGAAGTACCTAACTGACTTTCAGTGAGAGATAAAATACTTTACACCTAGCAGTAGGTAAAAGCATGCTTATACCTAGCCATAGCTAACTAACTCTTAAATTACTATCATAGACTGTTTCACCTTGATGAGTTCTGGTAGCAGTGTCCTTAGTGATACTGATCTTTCCAGCTGATTAATGCCATTTTCTCCTTTCCCTTTCCTTCCTCCCTATAGTTGAGGCTATATATAGTTTCACAATTTGATTAAAAAGTTACAGGCTTAAGAACAAGTGAAAGCAAAATTAAGTTCTCATAGCTTCATTTTATTATTTTATGGAGTTTTGATGACTCATCCTTAAAGTAATTTGGCTTCTGTGAAAGACCCAAGTTGAACTGTTGTTTTGTTTCTGTACATAGTGCTTCCTTGGGGAAGTAAGTTAAAACACAGATATTTTAAATTTACTTCTTCATTTATAGTGGTATAACTTTATATGGTAATGGCAATCTTGAATAAGAGCTTCAGAGAACTACCACAAGGAAGAGCAGCAAGGTTGTATGTTTAGTTCAGTGAACTTTACCCTTTACCTTTATATCAAGTAATAATATCTGTAGACTATTTGATCTTCCAGTTTATATCTTAAAACAAGTTCTCATCTTTAATTTAGTGCCTTCAATCTGCTTTGTAGTCTTCTGCTATATCAGCAGAATGTTTTTGTTAAACTCAGACATTAAATACATTAATGAAGAATCTTATTAACTGTTTTTTCATGTTGGCACATCCCATTTTATACTGCAAAGATGTATGCAAAGGTAGTGGCAGTACATGTCTGTGGAAGCAAAAAGCGTCAATGAAATACATAAAAATGCACCAAATTGACTCTGAAGACCTACTTTTATGTACCTCTATCATACCTGATACCTGTGCATAATGTTAGCATTGTAATTAATCTGTATAGTAATGGTATCCTGGGATTCTTAAGTCCTGATTAAACAAGGTATTTGCTTGTGAGAGCAGAGGAATCCATTATTCATTTGAGGTTTGCTTATGATCTAGCATACTAAAAAAAAAAAGCCTGTTCAAAGGTTACAATTAGGAATAATCACCATGGATAGTTTCATTATGGTCAAAAAGGGGATTTACATAAACTTAAAGACAGGAAGTTGAAAAAGTGAAAGCTTTCATCACTTCTGGGTAGTGCCAGACAAGGCAATGATATGAGATCAATTATTTATTAATTGAACATCCTGCAGTAGAATGGGAATGATAAAAATATTTTCAAGGTACTTAACCCTCTGTAGGGAAGCTTAATATTAAATATGTATAGAAAATGAAGCCCAGAACCAGAAGGGTTACAGACTTGAATTCTAACTGGATTTGAGGTCAACTGCATTTAACTTGGCATCTTTGAGAATTAAATTCTTAATCTACAGGTGGAAACATGAACATCTAAAATAACTTTCTGAAACAAGTAAGTAGTCTTTGGCATAAGGTACAAGGGATAGAAGGATAAACGTCATAGACAGGAAGCTACATAAAATACAAGGGTTCAGGTGTTCATGACACTATTGAGTTAGATCTCAACCAACTGACTAGCACATAGAGTTAGTCTGGTTTCATGAATGCTGCCTTGAAATACACGCCAAAAAAATATCACTTGATTGCAGGCAAGTAACAATTTAATTTAATAATTTTATTATGCTTTGTTCTTTAAGGGGAAATCAAGATTTCCCATAAACACTTTGAAGAAGCTTTTAGGAAAGTGAAGTCCTCAGTATCAAAGAAGGTAAGATATGTAAGACTGATTTGTAAGTATGTAAGACTGATTACTCCTCTGGAAAGGATGCCCTTTTTATGCTGGAGACTGGTGGGAATAGTTAAGCATGCTGTATGCTTCCATGTATTTCAAACAACTGACACTACCTGTAGATGGATTACCACGCTATCAAAGTTATCTTGTAGTATGGCACCTTGGACTTCTCTCTGAAGTTCTCTGCTTAGTTATTGACCTGGCCTTAACCTCTTACATCTGTGGAATTTTCAGTTAGAAGTGAAGGCCTTTAGAGTGTACTACACCTTCCCACCACCTTTTCTTCCCCCCTAGATGGATATGACACTCAAAAATGCTCAACCATTTCTGTTAACATGTGACGTTTTGAAATAGGACATAGGACATAGAACACTATCATCTTTGTTATTTCTTACCAGTCTTTTCATTATTTGCATTTGTCAATGAAGTTAGTTTTAGATGTTTCCTTATGACCTGTTCTTTTTAATGACTGAAAGGAAAGCTGTTCAGTCATCTTAATTACTATAATTGAGAAGTTTTTATATATAGGAATTGTTATTGCTGCAGAGCTTTTGTGTATAGGTGTCTCCATGTTGCCAAGAGTATACTGCAGCCAAAATACATTAATATATTCATTTTAAACGCTAGCCAGAGAAAAGTTAACTATTTCCTTTCATTATTATTGTATGCTGATGGTCAGTGACCTTTTCTAAAATTTAAAAGTGATCTTTAGCTCCAAGACGCTTTAAAGATGGTGTTGGTCATTGGGTTCCTGCCCTTTGCTAATCACTAAGCAAATAGTTCAGAAGCAACAGCCACAAAAACTTAAAACCTCTCCTGTAACATAGCAATTACTGGTAAGTATTAGGACATGCTCCTTCTGGTTCTTAAGAGTTAACCAGAAATGTCACTCTGCATCTCAAAGGCAGCATAAATATCACATCTCAGAGCCCTACACTTAAATTATATCTGTCTGAAGAATTCTCAGTTAGGTATTTTGAAATATCTTTTGGAGTACAAGATACTCATCTCCCATTTCCAGATGCTACTTTCTTATCTGCTAGACAAATTCAATCTGACAAAAGCTTTATGCACCTTCCTATGAATACTGGAAAATACAAAAAGCTGCATCTTGCTGCTTTAGTGCTTCTAACTCTTCTTCTCCCTCCTACACATATCTGAGTTCAGTTAACTTGCTTTTGCTTTAATTGATTGACTCAAGACAAACCAGCATAAGTTCTTAAAGCTACTGAGAGACATCACCTTCTGAAGAGAGTTATTTCAGTGGAAGTTAACATCTCCAAGTATTCTGTTCCTCAAAAGCGTAATTTTGAGTGACTAGTGAAAAGCATTAAGGAATAGTTAAGTAAGTTAGACTAGCAAAAGAAGATCTATCCATTTTGGCACAAGTAGATAGGGGACTAAGGTGTCAGTTCAGTAGCTCCCCTCACAAAGAGGGCAGTGTCCTCTTAGGGAAGCTGCAATCTGAACCTAGCATGGCAATATTAAGTATAAAGAACTCTGCCAAAGGCTTCTCTTAATTACATATAAATGAGGTTCCCCAGTAATAGTGACCAATTATGAGTCAGGATGTGGGGGGGTTGGCTTATTTAGTTTTTTGTTTGTAAATGCTTTTAAATATAACTAGTGTCTCATATAGCTGGTTTGTTTCACTTTCTTGTTAAATACTACATAAAGTCACTTTTAAAGATTGCATGATTTTTTTTACCATTGTCTGAAGTCTTTCTTTCTCTTATCTTGGCACTGCTAGGATCAAATAATGTATGAAGAACTACGTCAGTCACTGTGCAGGTGATACATTTGGACAATCCCCAAAAGACTTGCTCTACATTGGTGGAGAGTTTTGTAATACCCATGCCTGATTTGAAGAGTCAGGTTGGAAAAAAAGTGTGCTAAATCTCTCAGCTTTTTAAACTGTACCTGAAAAAAGTTCATCATAACCTACTGCTCTAAACCATCCTTAATTTAACTATTTCCAGAATAAAAGATACAATACACGCTTCCTGCTTATCACCATTTAAGTCTTAAAAATTAATGCTTTTAGTGCTAAAGAGCTAATACCATTCTGATATAATATTTGGCGCCCTTAATCAGAAATCCCTCAGAGGCAGAGAGGCTACCCCTTCCTAGTGTTTACATTGCTCAAATAGCTGTTTTCAAACATAAATGAAAGTACCTGTTTTCAGGAACAAGGACTCTGGAAGAGTCACTGGGAGAACAGAGCTGTGAAAGTAGTCTGGGAAAGCACTGCACTGCATGTCATCAGACCATTAATCATGCCTTTCCCAAATACAGTGACACATGATGATTGTACTAGCGTGGGTTCTCAGAGCTTCTAGCAGCTTCTCTTCACCTTATCAAAAGAAACTATCCAGAGATGGCAAGCTGTCTTAAATGTTACCTAGGAGAGAGTAGAGTTTAGAAATCTGAGAAGTGCTACAGTGTTGCAACTTAACAGCCACCTAAGAAACACTTGAAACAGTGGGAGTTATCCAACAACCTGGTTCTTAATTTTTTTAAAAAAAAAAAACAGACAAATCTGCAACAACAAAAATTCTATTACAGGTTTGAATTCCTTAGCTCAAGTGTTTTGACATCCTCTGGAGGAAGGAAAATGTTATTGTTTTAAGAAACAGGCCAAGAGCCTGAAGCTTTTTTTTTTTTAAGTACATGAAATTCCATCTTGGAAAGAGGGTCAAAGTTTCAGCACCAGCAAAATGGCAAGTACTGAGTTAAGACAAAACAATGAAGCATGACAGATACCGAGTAACTCATTTCTGAAACCTACAAGCCTTCATGGATTTTTTACTGTCATGATTCTATGAAGTTCCTTTAATCATTAATATCAGTTCCTATCTTTGATCTGTCTTAATCTTCCTGCAACCATTGCTCAAGGATCAAAATAAGAAATGGATGATTTCTGCTAAAAGACTTTCCAATTTGATAACACCAAACTTTAAATCCTTTTAGAGTAATGAAATTTCCATATAAAACCGTAAAATAATTTTTGTAAGCAACATTTATTCTACAAGCATCCCCCCTACTTTAACATTTAAGAGGTAGGATGTGACCCTGAACAACCTGATCTAACTTCAAGATTGACCTTGCCTTGAGGGAACAGCACCTTACAACTGAAATTCTTGTCCCAATTGCCATCTGACAAAAAAATCTTGCACATTTTTCTCCAAAGGTAAATGTGGAAGGCTGTTACACATAACTGATCACCACAGACTTGTGTTTTAAAACTACTGACACTCATGGCAGCTTGTACTTACTACTGTAATTTTTTTTGCACATTTGATACTCCCTCCCTCTTCTCAGGAAGCCTGAAACTCAGGGACTCAAGTTGTGGCCTATATGACTAACAAATGAAGTCCCTGCATGTAAAGTAGATGATGTGTTTGCTTGTAATTGTAAATCAGGCTTGGAGCTTTAGGAATTACTGAGACACCCAGAAATCCCAAGCTGAAGGATCATAATTTTCTCTTAGAAGAGTTTCACTTGTGGATATTCATTAGTGCAAGGCAATGCAATTAGTGCATATCAGTTATATGACTAATTTAATGTGAAATCATAACTAGATGTCATGTACAGAGCTGCACAAGAACCACCTATGTTACACAGACTTTTTCCTGTTCTAGCTCTACATCTACAACTTTACAGTTTGAGGATTTTTTTTTTTTTACCACCTACCTTAAACGAAAGGCTTTTTGCTTTATAGGAAGCCACAACTGTGTCAAAGCAAGCTGTGACCCCTTTCAGGACAACAACACACTGAATTCACTAGAGTGTTTGAGAGTTGACCAATGAAAAAGAGAACCAAGCAGGAGCCCTATGAAAGCAATATATGCTACCTCAAATACAAATTTTGACACTGTCAGCCATTTTTACCTTTAAATATGATAATTAATTCTAAAGGCATCACTGTTTTTCACCTGCCTGTGGCATGCATTGGTTTCAAAACAAATGAACTGTATATAAAAAGAACTCATCAGGAATAAAAGAAAAATATCTCCTGTGATACAGCTTCAGTGATATGATTTAGAAATATGTCATCCTTTCTTGGGAAAGAAGTGTGGCAAGCCACTCTTTACAGTTGTAAATAGCCACGTGAATGATTTCTCCTTTATTGATATATAGAGGAAAATCCTTTAAGGATAGCTGCAGTTGATGAGCTTACAAACAAGTAAAGTCCTGAAGCCCTGGCATATTCACCCAAGAATTTTCTCCTTCTTTCCTGTTACCATGGTATTATTCCTGTGTGTAAATGAAGCAAGAAAGCAAGGTAGAACTTGCAAGGCAAGACTAAGGAGAAAATACTATTCAAGTAGTAATAATAACAGTATTACTATTCAAGTATTAATAATATAGTCTTGTCAAGGTTTCTACCACACACCATTTTTATTATACAAAGTATCTGATAATCCTTCTTAACATGTGATAGGGGAAGAGGAAGCAGGGTGCATGAGAGTTTGAATTTACAAGAAAATCTGGAGTTAAGTTGAAAGGCAGAAAGAGCCAGATCAGTCAAGCATCCATATCCTGTTTGCTTACCTTGTCTGGGCTACATGTGCGTCAAGGAGCAAACACGGTTAGGCAACTGAACTCTGACTTCACGCAAGAGAGTACTGCACCCACACCACTGCTTTTTCTTGGGGGAAATTCTGCTTAGGCTATAGTACTTAGCACTGAAAAAAACTTGATAACAGATAAATTGTAAAATCTCTTGTACTTGTACATAGAAAATAGGGATCAATTTAAGGAAAAAGCCTTTTCACATAATAGAGACCACTACTTTGTTCTGCATATGCAGCTACCACCCCTCCTAGCAGAAATGCCTACAGGAGGTTTTCCCTCTAGTCATGTTTCTGTTGGGGCAAGATCAAGAAATTGTTCATCACACTATTCTTCTCTCCCTTTTCCTGAGGCTAGCTACATATCTAAATCACAGTAACGATTGTCCCAGAGCATATTAAATGCTAACTTAAGCACAGATAGGGGGCAGAGGCAGTACAGGAACTGTCAGAAGGAAAAAAAAAATGCTGTCTTCATTCTTACCTAAACAGGAAACTCTTCAACATTTTGTCCTCACTGACATCTTGTATACTACTGCAGGCTTGATTGTGAAATACAGGATTTGATAGAGAAGAGGTAATTGTGTACATAGAGTTGCAGGTTGCTATACTAAAGGCACATCTACATGATTTAGACACACCTATTTGTCAGACTGTTTTTTTAGGACCTTGCAGAAGCAATCCTGGCAGACCCAGAAGTGCCTCCTTGTGCTTTGCAGCTTGCAAGCTAAAACAGTAGAACTTGCTTTGCCTTAAGTCTTTTGAGACACTTTCAAATTACAGTACACTTTCCAAAGGCTGTGTCTTAGACCACTTATGCAAAATCACTACCCGAAAGCAACTTTTCTCCTGTTTGTCCAACTGGATTAGTATGGCATCCCCCAATCTATAGCATTGACATTATTGCTTGTTGAACCTCATCGTTAAATAAGGAATGAACAACTTGAAGTTCTACTGTAGCATGCCACTTCATCTAATACAAGAATAAATGCCAAGAAGGCAGAGGTCAACCACTGAGCTCATTATCTAACAGTGCCTGCTTACTTAGTACAGATCCATTTCTCAACACCTGTGGACTTTTAAGTATATGTTATGTGTGGAACAGACAGGCTCAGCAGCAAAAGAAGAATGCCAGAGGCAAGAGTTGTTCTGAAAGAGGAATATACCCACGCCTGTCCTGTGGTAAAACTCATGGCTAGTATGATCAGACTGCAGGATGTATCACTTACTCCACTTAAGCAGCTTCAAGTAAAGGGGGTTGGGGGGGTGGGTGTGCATGCATTACAAGCCACGCCAGGCAGTTTATTCTGAAAACTGCAAGTTACTCTGAAAACCTTGAAGGGGATTCAGAGCTCTCCACAATTTAACTGCAGCTAACATAATACTTGGATGACACATTTAACATTGCTGACCCAAAGCCAGCTGTGTTTTGACAGTTAAACTCCTAGCTGATTTCACATAAAGGAGAGCTTTGCCAAACTGACAAACTAGTAAGATGCTTTAGTGACACAGAAAGGAACAAACCCTAACAAGAAAGGACAAAGTTAACAACTCATTCCATCTGAAAAACTTTAACCGAATTATAATTCTGTTAATGTCAGGGTTCTTAATGCTCTGTAGGTTTAATTTGATCTTCACTGGTTAGTCAAAGCTCCCTCCAACTTTCAGATAAAGTATATCAAGAACTATACTTACTTGGTTTTGCCAGATAAATAGTTTCCATTAATGCTATTAAAATGTAATTCCTTAAAAACAATAACTAGATAGTTCATATGTATTTAAAAAAAAAATCATGTTTATCTTTGTGCCATGCCTTTGGACTAAACACATTTTATGACTGGAGAAAACTAGTTTTGAATTTAGAATATATCAAACACAAGCCAAGTAGTCCAGCTGGTCTTCATTCCTTTTACCAGTGGTTCAGAAATGCTTCTGACTTTTTTTAGGGATGAAATTATATGTAACTTATATTAGGCATAGTATATAAAATATTACACATACTATATTTAACATATTAATAATCTATATAGACTATATATAAACCAAAATATAGGTTAACTTTCAGATGATCTGCTTCTGGCAAAATCCCTACTACTGAAGTTAAATGCCAAAGCCTCTTGTGTGTATACACAGGAATTCTATACCCAAGAACGGTAGTTACCAATGCTTGTAGGGAATCAGACTGTGGTTTAGATCCAAACATGAGTCTCACTGGTTCAGATTAACCTAGAGCAGTAAATGTTCTCCAGTAGGCAGCCAGTAGCATGTGTTTCAGAAAGAATACGGCAAGCACAGATATCTCCCTCAGAACTCCCCACTATTCTGCAGCTCTTGAAGTGAAAATGGGATATTTATAATCAAGAGTTGGAAGGGAACATCCCAGTCAGGACACCCTAGAGCAGTATTTGCAATTTTTAACAAGAGAGATGGCAACTTCAGTCCCATTTAAAAGCAGGAATTCACACTTGCGCTACCTTTTGGGAGGACAGTAAGGGGCATCAGCAATTCTATGAAGTAGGTATCGAAGCCCAAGTATGAAAGTTAAACTCTGAGCTCTCACTTATCTTAGATGAATACTTCAGATAAGCAGTTTCTCAACTTTAGCTTTTAGCCGTGAAACTTTTTGGAGACACTTTCCGTCCTTCATTCAGCTATGGCAAGCTATCAAAGAGATTTAATTCCACCATTCACTTCTTAAATTGAGAAACAGTCATACAGATGTGGCTTAAAAAGAAACAAGTTTTGCCACTTGTTAAGCCTGTTTGGGTCTTTCAGCCAAAATAGTTTTCTTCCCAGTAGAAAGGCAAGACAGTGACTCTTTACAGTTCATCTATACCACCACTCAATAGAACAGCTCTTGCAGCTGCTTTAAAAATGCCAAATTTCTCTAAAGCTCATGTCTTTCAGCATTAGGGGACAAATCAAAAATTCACCCGATGTTACTTTCATCTTTGCTTTTTAATTACATGTAAAAATACTGGATAAAAGTAGATTTTGACATTACACTATACCCTGAGCAATATGCTGGCTAGCTAGCATGTTATTGGCATCATTACGAAGTCACTTTGTAAGTGGTTGTCATGCTTTCATACACTTCTATTACATAACCACAGATAAGGGCCCACACTTAAAACGCACGCACATTAGAAACAGGACTGCAATCAAGTGAGGGTTAAGTTGTACCAACACATTCTTCTCAGGCACTCAGCTTCTTAAAAAAAAAAGGAACCAGCCCACACCAAAACCCCACAAAATGCAGGAGCTGAAGGCACCTAAATATTAAGTTACTTACAGCAGACCAGTGTGGACAATAGCTGAGACTTCCACCTTCATCAGATTCCATCGTTCAGATAAGTGAAGGACATACTGTAGGATCGCTATTTGAAATTGAAGGGCGATTCATAGCCATCTTTGGCAGCTTAAAGCCATCATCAACGCATTAGATGATAGAAAGCAAATATACTGTGCTTGAGGTATGTAGATACTAGTTCTTCAGGGTTCAGCAAGCCTATCCAGGCTCTGTTCCCAATTTTAAAACTCCTTAAGCAGGGAAGTTTGGTATTACCACCTGTGCTCTCACCACATTTTAATATGGAAGACAGCTAAGTGTTTATGTAGGGTACTGTAGGTTTGACACAAGAGGGCATCAAGATTATTTAGCAACACTTTTCTGTGTACACAAATTACTAATATGCTTAATTGTCAGGGGTTGTAGCTAGCCTTTTTGGCCAGGACAGTATCTGCTTCAGTTGATTCAGTTTTCCATAGAAGCCAAAAATTCCAAATGAGTGTAAATATTAGAGTTAGCATTTAAAACCATGGTAACATCAGAACCAACTAGGACAAGCCTAATAATTTGTCTTTGCAGATCAGAGAAAAAAAACCAAACTGTAACAAGATTTTTCAAATACAAGAAAACTAATCAGTTGTATTAAATTAGTGGCTTACACAATACAATTCCAAGTGCTAGCCGCTCCAGCTATATGCCAACACAAGCAGCTTAAGCAGTAGGTAGGGAGTTGGCACTTCCCCACTGTTTTACGAGGCAGTCACATGAGCCATCTCGATGCCAATTTCATTCTGTTAGGCTGCTCCCTTAAGGTACTTTCAGTTGAAAAGGTGGAACTTTAAAGCAGTGCTTCAAATGACGTGTTACATATTTGAATAAAAGCAGACTTAACATTTCTGTGCAAATTTAGTTCTTCCACCCACTAAGTTAGGACGAAGGTTCAACAGAAGGTTTAAGTTAACAAATCATGTTAGTTAGAATCAACAGGTAAGTACAGCATTTTAACACTACAGTCATCTAAATAGCATGTTGTGGGCAGCATACTACATTGAGAACTTCTAAAACATTGAGGAGTCAGACAGGTATTTTATATAGATTTAACACCTGCCAAAGCAAATTCTGTAACAAAGTGATTTAGCATTATGCACATTAACACTGATCCTTAGGCAAACATATACACATTAAACCAACAAATCAGAGGACTGCAAGGAATGTTACAGCTGGTAGGAGTCTGCTACAAAATCCTTTAGAGTGCATTGCTATGTTGCTGTAGATCTTAATTCAGGACACTGGTGAACATCTTTAGCAAGAGACCTTACCAGCCACTTTAAAGCAAGCAGACATTTCAAAGTTTTTTGGTTGCCGGAACTTTAATCTTGCTTCACTTCACCCTTTAATTGCCTTTTCATACGCGAATATGGGCTGATTGTGTCATCCATCACGAAGTCATACAGTACTTTTATCCAAGAGTTATATTGTGGCAGGTTGTCATAGTATTCAGCTGCTATTTTCTTCACCTAAGGAGGACATAACAAGGTTTATTTACTATTTGTATTAGCACCAGTTGTGACAACTTTACAATCCTCAACCTGTAACAACATAAAGCACTAGAAGTTTCATTTCAGATGTTAGATTCTACAGGAAAGGCTACTAATATCACAATGAAAGTTTTTTTGAAGGAAAAAGCAACTCCCTTGTTAAGTAAACGTCATGTGAAACTTTTATATTGACACTAACCAGAGCAAATTCTGCTAACACTCTGAAGTCCGTTCACTGTGCCACCTATAGAATGATGTAGCTCACAAAAGCAAGCAGTTTGGTCACTAGTGGAAGTTGGTGACTCACTTCAATGCTGACTCAAAGGTATACGAGCATCACTAAAAAGGATCTTGTAAATTCTAGGGAGAGATGTTTAATGCAGCGATTTTTACATGTAGTTTCAAACCTCAGCACTCAGAAAAGACATGTTTCTGAGGAACACCTTGTTTCTGAGGGCAGACAAAGAACTAATATGAACTGCTTCCAAAGACTTTACCCTCAGATGTACATGCTGACTAGATCACTGTTTTAAACTAAGAGAGCTGGAGTTTCAGTTAGGTATCCTTACTGATACTTAAGGCCAACCACCTAAAGCCTTAAAAATCACAAAGAGAACAAAACTGATTTTTCACCAAATTCCATTTAGACAGCAGAAAAATATTAATCTGTACAAGATAAACAAACCCAAGATGCCTGGTTTGGAGCTGAAGATAGTTTTGATCTGTCATCACACCTATAGAATAGTGCATCTAGCCAGTATGCTTTTATTCAACAGTAATTATCCTCAGCTCACCAGTACCCCAGCTGGAATTAAGTGTTCAGTACTTCAGTGATCTTTAGCACACAGCATAGCAGAGTCTAATCAAATCAACTACACTGTTCTAAAAGACGACTTTGTTTTCTTATCAGAGCTGTGAATTAAGAGTCCTGTAGCAGAGATAGTATTTGCCTCTGCAATTAAATACTTGAAAAAATTACTCCCTGTTTACAACTCAAATACTGCTGCAAGAAGTGAAATACTAGTTCACCAGCACAGATCTAGGTATCAAAGGTGAGTTAAAGCTACTTCATGAGTATTTGAAAGATGAAATCTATGAATAAGAGAAACAGTCTTTTCAAAAACAAAATTACAAAAACCCACAAAAAAAGGTCTCAACAAACCAGTTACAGAATTTGACTGCCCTGCTACAGAAGTGCTGGAATAGTTACTTCATCTACCGTTCCACTACTGACAACAGGAATAACAATCAATTTAGACACTACCAAAGCCACAAGCTTACAAGGTCTATTACCAAGTGCAGTAACAAAGCTACAAGACCAACACCACACCTGCTGTCAAATTGCAAATTCAGTGTCTGATGAAAAACATGTTTCACTGAATATGAGTTTTAGGTGTAACACTGGAAGCCTGTGTTCCCATGCTCCAATTTTGAAACACATATACATATCCTGCCAAGAAGAAACCAGCAAAGACTGAAGTGAGGAGAAGCCAGTTTGAAAGTACATTATCTGCTGCTCATGCAGATGTGACAGATCCAAGTCTTAGCTTCGAAGCCTTAATTCTGTCAATGTACACCTGATACTTATGTAGGGTTCAAAGGTTCTCACTAGAGGAAACAGCTCCAAAATAGAAAGCTATTAAACATTTGTCAACAGTAAAACAAACATCAGCAGTACCTCAAACCATCTCTTTTCCCCACTAGAGAGTGTCAGTGATAGAAGAGACTGAAGCATAAGCACGCATTGCAATACTGTCCATAAGGTTTCAAAGACAGAACTAACAAAGCTCTGAAGGCATCAGCAACTTCTTAACTAGTTTTCTGCATACTTACAAACCAAAGACAACAGAAGGCTGGCTGTAGTGAAAGAAAACTAAAGCTAGTGCAAAGCACAAGACATGCATTTCCTCCCCTCTCCTTTTATGGAAGAGGCTTGAGCAGCCAGCACATGGGAAGCTTGTTCAGCATACAACTAAAATGGTAAGTAATTGCCCCCTTTAGCACTCAGCCTAGAAATTGTTCTGGTTTGGGTTTGGTTTGGGGTTTTTCTTTTAGTCTCCCAACTTCCGTTCTTCTAACTATCAGTGTTCCACCTGACTTTCAAGTTAAAGTAGGGCTTATTTTAAGAAAAAGTAATAACCTTGGAAGTAAACTTACCAGCGGAAGGCTCTTGCCAGGAATATTGGGGAAGTCATGATGTTCATTGTGATAGCCAACATTAAAAGTGAGCAAATTAAGTGGCCCATAGTAGGAATACGTCTCATGTCCTTTTAAAAACATGTAGTGTTCGGCTATGAAGTGTCCTGAAATTGGGTGCAACCCAAGTCCAAGTACTGAACCAGCAAGCATGTAAAAAGTGGATTTGACTCCCCATAAATAATATATCACAACATCAAAGGAAAGCTGAGCCAACAAATTGATTATTTCAAGTCGAGTAATGGGTTTGGGATTGATGCAGAGAGGTCTGATCGCATAGAAAAAAGGCTGAAGAACAATCCATATGAACTTCCTAAAGCGGGTGCAGAAAAACCAGCCTTCAAAGTTGGTAGGAATGTCCACATCAATTCCGTCGCCTCCTAAGTAACGATGATGATCCATGTGGTATCTCTTGAAGGATATGGAGTACGGGAGACCAAGAGGGAGGTTGGCAAATATTCCAAACCATCGATTCCACATTGCTTTGCTGTTGCCAAAGGCACTATTGTGAGAGATCTCGTGAATAGCCAGAGTCATGGAGTGGCTAATACAGCTTCCAAAAACATATGCCCAGAAGATGACCCATTTCCAGTCCAAGTCTTTAACTAGATAAAATGCAGTCAACTGCGCAAGAACCATTAGCACAACCACCCAGATCAAGTTGTAGTCTGGCTTCATCAACGCTTTTATCTCTGGATGTTTAGCTAGATAGGAAAAAATTAAATGAAAAAGGCATCAGGACCTCTCCTCAGAGCCAACTATCTAGATTAGATTACAAAAGCAGATATAGTAATTTCCTCCCTTCCTCCCAATTAGGATTCATCTGCCAAAAGTAATGAAAACACCACCTTTCCACTTGGGACATTTATAGCTATAATGAACCCTTTAGAATTAAATTATTTCAGCATTTCTGAGTCGCTCAGCAAGTAGACACGTACACGGCAAGCACCAGTACCACCTCCAGCCTACCCAGAAACGAAACGGCTCTGAACTGACGACCCCCCCAGTAATGCAGAAGGGCTCAAGTAAGCTCGGGCCCAATTTAGGCGTCTTGCTTGGCAAGGCGGCTATTTACCACCAACACCGGGTGCCGCCGCGGCCCCTACGCACGGCACACGGCCTCTCCGTGACGACCAGCAGGCGCCTCACCCCTCGCTCGGCTGTTTCCTACCCGCG